CTTCTCTCTTCTTTATTTCAAATAGCTTCAAGGGTACCACAAGGTTCTATGTTTGCTGCTGTATTGTTTCTTATCTACAATAAAGATCTTCATGAAATCTAAAGTGGCTCTATTTGCTGACAACTCAACTTTATACTCTTGTCTTGACAAAAAATCTTTAGTTTTTAATTGTTTAGAACAAGCAGCCAATTTTAAATCTTTTTCTGTAACAGCCTAAGGCTTGCAAGTGGCTTATGAATTTAAATTCTGGACTTAAAATCCTTAATTTTTGTTAGGCAACAAAACTCATTTACTGCAAAAAAATATAGCAATATTTTTGGCATTCCTATATTGAGGAATGACTACCCTTTTACTCTCAGACAATGTCTAAAAGCACATTGTAAATGTAGTTAAACCTGCTTTATCTGCCATTCTTAAGTCTCTCTCTAATTGTTGTAAGGTTGCATTCGTTTTTCTACAAATACAAACATGTTTAATGCTCAAACGAGCTATCATCTCTATAACGGTAAACCAAAATTCATTCTTGCTTGGCTTTTTATTCAACAAGTTGCATCCTTTTAATGTTTCTATCCCTTCATGCTATAAAAACTTTTATTAATTCAGTTTTTTCCCTTGAACATCAAAAAAACCTAATAACTCTTACCCATTTTCATTTTTTCCTTTTTTTATACAACTTGCAACTTTTTAAGTTTTCAGTTAAGTTTCCTAGTATTTTAACTTGTTCTCTATTTTAAAGTAACTCATAACTTAATAGTGGTTGCTTGCAATCTAGTTAGAAGTAAATTAAATTTTAAAAATATATAAATGTATGCCAGTATTTAATAAATACTAAATATAAGCATAAAATTATAATATATTAAGTATTATAAGTTTTTTCTAGCCTTGGCCATCAATCTCTGCTAAAGCTTTTAATTTTGCTGGGGCCGGGTTTGCAAAAAGTCTCATTTTCAGCCGGGGTCGGGGCGCCGGTCAATTACTTTTAGCTATGGCATGTAATTAAGATAATAATTTTTGCTACAACTGCTATAGTTAAAAGAAAATGTTGAGGGACAATTGCAAGTCTATAGGGTTATTTTTTTAGGCTTGAATTAAATAGACCTTTATTTATATGTTTATGTTCTTGATAATATATTAAAAAAAACAATGCTAAAAAGTGTTCCTAATTTTACATGACTTAAAAACGAAACAAACTATACCACAGCAAACAGTTCAGGAGTCTGGAGTCATAGCATGCCATGACAAGAGCATGCAGCTGACAGGTGACAGCACACAGGCAGAATTTTGAAAATAAGTGCCATTTTACAGCGGACAAAACAAGTGCAACTTTTTTGGTTTGTTTCATTTTCCTAAGTCTGGTCCATATCAACGTCACGTAAGTTTTTTAATAATTAAAGGAAGTATCCAGAACTTTCCAGAAGTTTTCAGAAGCATGCAGAAGCTTCCAGAAGAAGCATCTGGAAGCATCCAGAAGTATCCAGAAACATTCAGAAGCATCCAGAAGCTTCCAGAAGCATCGAAAAGAAGCATCTAGAATCTTACAGAACATGTTCACACAGGTTCATTTTACTATATAAGAGACATGTAAAATGATATGTAATTCAGTCAGTATATTAAGTCAATTAGTCAGTATTATCAAGACAGTTTATCGAAGCGAGTTTTATCAAAGTGTTTTTTCAAAGAACATCAATACAAGAAGTGAAATACAACAAGTGTTTCATTACATCAATACAGTCCACATCGAACCAAGGCGTTGTGTTTCACAGAGCATTATTGTATCATCACAAGGTAATTATAACACGGTAAACCTTGAGAAGCAAGATTATTTATTTTTATTATTTTTATGACTTCAAGTGCAAAAATGGCTCCCGACAGTCTTGGATTGGAACTAAGAAAGACAATTATTGGCAATTACATAAGTGGAATGTCACAAAAAAGTATTTGTGATAAATATCACGTGAAAAAATGGACCGTATCAAGACTATGTTCCAAATATTGTTCTACAGGGAAGTTGGCAGCAGATAACAAAGGTGGAAGACCGCGTTCCACCACTTCTATAGAGGATTCTATGATTGTCAGATCCGTCAAAAAGGATCCCTGGATATCATCAGTTGAGATACAAAAGCAATTAAAGCTGCATGTATCTGACTGAACAATCAAACGACGTGCTGACATCTCATATTGACTGGAATGTGCAGAAATGGTGAACTGTCCTGTTCAGTGATGAGTCGAAGTTCAACATCATTGGGAGCGATGGCATTTGCCGTGTACGTCGATCGCCTGGAAAACGCCTCGATTTACCTTTCTGCCATAAGACTGTGAAGCATGGTGGAGGCAATGTAATGGTCTGGGGGTATTTTTCTGTCTAATACACCGAATTGATGATATAATGGTCCAATACACCGAATCGATGATATAATGGACCGTTTCATGTATAAAAATATCCTGAAAGATGTTATGTTATGTTATGCTGAATGGAATATGCCAATAAAATGGGTTTTTCAGCAAGACAGCGATCCGAAACACACTGCAAAAGTAGTCAAGAAGTGGTTTCAAGACAACCACCTATCGGTGATGGATTGGCCACCTCAATCTCAACCCTATCGAGAACCTGTGGGAGATTGTCAACTACAGAATTAATCGTGAAGGTGTTCGTAATAAGGATCAACTGTTTGAACAAATCCAAAAGGCCTGGTGAGCAATTCCACAAAGTTTCATTGATCACCTGATCGAATCTATGCCTCGAAGATGCAAGGCTGTGATTAACAACAAAGGATTCGCGACGAAATATTAATAGCGAAATACAGCTTGGTCAACATTTTGTGAAGTTGCACTTGTTTTGTCCAGAAGGAAATCAACTTTTTTTAATACTTTTGATTAATTTATTAATTTTTCTGTATAAATAATGAACTTTGTGATGAATAAAACTTGAAGAACGTTGTCTCTAAACAGTTACATAGTTATTTCTCTAAATTAAAAAAAATGCAGCACTTTTATATAAAGAAATTGAATTAGCATTATTTAGTTGCACTTGTTTTGTTTCTGTATCTTTGTTTTGTTCTCAACTCTGCAAATGATCTGAAGTAAAAGTTTTTGGCTCGGGTTAAAATTTTCTGGGAAAATTTGCTTGCGAAAAATACATATCTTTTAGGAAAATTTTTATAATAAGTTAATCAATTTATGGGCAGCACTCTTTTTTATATCCTGTAATTTCAGGGGTTCCTCAAGGTTCTCTCCTTGGCCCTCTTTTTAATTTACATTAAGATCTTCCAGAAATTCTCACATCTAAGGTGGCATTGTTTGCTGATGATTCTTGTCTTGATAAGAAGCCAACACTCTCTGATTGCTTGGAGGGGATATTTGAGCTTGAAAAGGATCTCACTTCTGCTACAGTATGGGGCTCTCAGTGGCTGGTGAATTTTAACTCAGTTAATACTCAATTTTTTTCAGCTAATCGTTATAGACACAATCTAGATCTTCCTATATTTATGATTGGTAATGTACTATATTTATGATCAGTAATCTACCCTTCATCTTGTAGAATTAACTCTTACTTCTCATCTTTCTTGGAAACCATATATCAAATCAATTGCAAAATTAGCATCTGATAAGGTAACATCTCTTTATCGTACTCGCCGCTTTCTTACTCAGGATTCTATTCTTTATCTCTATAAATCTCAAATCCATCCTTGTGTGTAATACTGTTGCCATATCTGGGCCAGATCTTGCAATGATGCCCTTTCTCTTTTAGACAAGGTACAGAAATGCATTATAAACATAGTTGACCTGCTCTTGCAGCCAACCACCAACCATTATCACATCGTCATTATGTTGCTTTTTTTTCTCTTTTCCATAAATACTATAATAGACACTGCTCTAAAGAGATAACATCTCTATGCCATCTACTAAAATTCATTCTTGTGTTACTCGTCATTCAATTAATTCTCATCCTATTACTGTGACTGTTTCTAAGTGCTCCAAAAAATTTTATTTGTCTAGTTTTTTTCCTCAAACATCAATTCTTTGGAATTTGCTTCCTTTATCTTCTTTTCCTGATTCATATAATTTGCAATATTTTAAATCATCTATCAATTGTTATCTTGCTCTATAAGCTTCATCTTTTCTCTTCCAGTAACTTCCAACTCTAATAGTGGTTGCTTGCAGCCTTGTTGGAAATCAAGCTATTGAAAAAAAAAAGGTAAAAAAGATGTTAGCTTGCCTTTTTAGTTTGTTTATAACATATTTCTAGCTTTTACTTCTATCAACTATGGTGTAAAATATTCACAAAATACAAAGAATAAAATGTTATTTAGATTAACCAATTTTATTTTGTACTCAATAGTTCAAATTTAACGAAAATATTTCTTTACTTTTTGTCTTTCATTAATCAATAACATCATTAAATCAAGAAAAAATTGGAAAATACTTTCAATCAAGTCTTTTTATATTCACTTTCACAGTTTTCAGTAACTTGTAGGTCAATTAAATAGACATCATAAAATGCTCCTTCCCCTTTAGGGATGGGGGTGCACAGGCAAAAGGGAAAGGGGCATTTCCCTAAAGGGGAAGGGGCATTCATTATTTGTTGTTACATTCGTTGTTATTTTTTGTAATTAGTTGTTACAGGCAACATAAATACACTTTCCTAAAGTTAATTTCAAAACTTGCCAAATTTAAACAATGCAAAATATATGTATATATATTTTGCATTGTTCTTGAGACCAGTTTGAGGAGGGAAACTAATCATTTTTATTATTTCATTAAAAATGAATAATGGTTGGTTGCTCCCTCAAACAGGTGTATATATATATATATATATATATATATATATATATATATATATATATATATATATATATATATATATATATATATATATATATATATATATATATATATGTATATAGCTTTGCTTGAAATATCATACTGAAAAAGTAGCTGTGGGGATTTTTTATTAGCTGTTTTGAACTTTTTTATTTGACATTTGTATTTGCTTTTACCAGTGCGCCTTGGAGTTAACAAAACATGCAGATTTTATGTTTACATCAGAATTAGACTCAATGGTATCTGCATGTCTCAGAGGTTTGGAAGGTTCAAACTATGATGTCAGAGTTCAAATTGCACAGTTGTTTGGTGTTTTAATGGCTGGTTCCCAGACTCACCAGCCTCCAAGTGGAGTCACTAAAGGAAAAAAAACTACTGAAGATATGTTTAATATTATGGCTTCAGCATTTTTAAAAGGTAATTTTCTAAAGAGAAAATAAGATAAGGTTTTTTAGTTTAATTTTTAATGTTTTTTAAAATTTTATTTCTTACTATCTTGGTTTTTTTGTAAACCAAAACATGTAAGGTCTTAAATTCAAAGAAATTTTTGCTTGTGAAGCAATGATCCCTTCTCATCAAGCTAGTTGAACTAGGTAAAAACTAAAAAAAAAATAAAAGAATTTGAAATAGTTATTACTAAAAACAATAAGTAAAACTGTTTAATTTTCACTAACTCAATTATTTATCTTTAACATCCTTTAATTCAAACTACTCAAACTTCTATATTTGCTTAAATATACTTCCCTTAATAAACAATAGTGTTGTTTATTATATGTGACTAACAATAGTATATTAAACAATATACTATTGTTTGTCACATTGATATAGCAAAAGTGGTTTATATGATTTTATTTAACTATTTTCAATGATTTTTTTTTTAAGCAAAAGATTTTTTTTTCAGGTGGTAGTGGCTTCCTTAGGAATGGTGTTGAATCTGGTATGAATCGTGAGATACGAATTGGTGTTACTCAGGTAAATGTCGTTGTATCAAATACTAATAGCATTTTTTGCTTAAAAAATTAAAAAAAAATCATAAATTCATTTTAATCAACTTTTTTATTGATATATTTTAGAGTTACAAAATATAGATTTGGGTAAATAGATTCTATTAATGCAAGTAGTTGAAATAAGCTTTCAAAGTTTGAGAGATAGATATATGAGATTATCTTTAAAATCAAATTTGCATGAAATTCCTCCAATAAACATATGAAGGATTTCATCTGAATTTAATTTTAAGAGTTATTCATATAAACCAAAAAATAACTAACAAAAAAGTGAGCACTATAATTGAAAAGGATTAAAATGGAAAATTTTTTTCTTGTTTTGTTTTCACAATTCCAAAGCACAAACCTTGAAATATAGTTTGTCAGGGTTTGTGGTAAAAGTATCTTCTTGGAAGTTTCTTCCCTAGATGTACCATTAGGTCCAGTTTATCCAATAAGGCAAATATTCAAAAGTTTCCTTCTGGACAATTATTAACAATTTAATCATTTCTACAATTATCTTTCAATAATTATTAATGATTTGCATAATTCTGTTTAGACAATTATTAATAATTGCAACAATGAATATTAGTCCCATAGTGCTAATCTAAATTATAGTTTTATACAAGACTTTAACTTGGTTTAGACCATAATCAAATTTCATTATTTATTATTTATTTTTATAAAAATCGAAATTTAAAATTTGATTTATCCATGTCAGCTATAAAAGGAACTAAAAACAATTTTATTGCTGAAAAATAAAAATAGAAAAAAGCTCAAGAAGCAAGACTAGATTTACAAAAAAGTTCTATTTTTAATTATTTAAAAATGGATGAAAATTTATTTAGGAACTCATTCTCAAAAAAAAAATTTTAATTCTTTTTTTTTTTTTTTTGTAATTCAGTTCAAAGTTGTAAAATCTAAAGTTTGAATTTAATTAATTTGAATTTTATTAGAAGAAATAAATTTTTTTTTTTAAATTAACCACCAAATATTTAGAACAAAGCTTGTTCTAGATATTTGGTGAAAAATCAAAAAGAATGTTAAATAAACAATAATTTTATAATTATATATATTTACAATAGAGATATATTGTTTAAATATACATTTCTGTTGAAAAATATCATCATAAGAATGAGAATAATTCTCCTTTGAAATGTATTCTTTACTTGAAAGAATATATATTTCTAAGTTGTTTTTTTTTTTCATTTTTAACGACAAAATAAATTACAATTTTTATAGGGATGTTTGTTAGAAGACTTGTTTTCATTCTTCTAGTTAGTATACCATTTTATCAGTCTTATTGAAAAAATCTTTATTTTTTTAAGATAAGACTGATAAATAATTTTTCCTAAGCCTTTGTACAAATATTTGTATTTGGAAAATTGCATATATTTTTATTTGCATATATTTTTATTTGTATTTGTATTTGGAAATCTAAAATTAATGTATTTGTATTTGATCAAATGTGTTTGACCCCAACCCTGCTGACAGCGTTTGACTAACATTTATTTTTTGTTGTTTGTTTGTTTTTAATTAATTTGTTGTATTCAAGTTTGTTTTTGTCACTTTTTCTGTTTTTTTTTTTTTTTTTTTTTTTTTTAATTATACTTCACTTCCTCAAGGCCGAGAAGGCCACTACAGACGAGGAGGCTACTTATTTTGTGGATATAACCCTCTCTCAACTCTATAACTCCGAAACACGAACCTTGACGAACAAGGCTGCTGCGCAGAGAAACAAGTTGAGCGCGGTACTACCAAGGACATGGTGGGGATCGAACTCGGAACCACTTGTTTATGAAGCGAGCGCTCTACCACTACACCACTACCGCATAAACAATTTAAAGTTATTTAAATTAAACAATTTAAAGATATTTAATTTAAAATTTCAAGATAAAAACAAAGCTCATTTAAACAAAAAGTTACTTTACACTTCAATTAAAAAAGAAATGTTATCATTAAAGATTTTATGTGTCTTTACACATTATTTTTTATGATTCAAGTTTATATGTTTTTATAAAACAATTAAAATGGTGGCAATTTTAGTATTTAGTATTATTTTGATTGAACTTCTGGCTTTAAATTGCTTTTAAAGCGAAGTTAAAAATTATTTTAGAATAACTGCAGCTTTATGGTGATTGCATTATATAACTGCTTTAAGAATACAAACATATGTTTTTTACATTTTAATATTTGTTTTGAATTTGTTGAAAGAACAAATGGTTATACCAATACTAAAAAAAAATTCATTTTCTCAAATTTTTATTGTTAGTTTTGCTTTTTCAAATTAGTTTTTCATGCTTCATTATTCAACCCCATTCATCATAGTGATATTTTAAAGTTGTTCTTTTTATATGAGATGGCACTTCAATATAAATATTCAATATATTGATGTTTTATATTCAGTTATATTATTAGAAGTAAATATTAATTTAATGGAACTATTGATATGTATATATGTATGTGTACATAAATACACAGCAAAGTTTTAGCTCTCAGAATGAAAATATTCAGGACACTTTATGTAAACAGTAGCATACAGAATATAAATATGATCAAATGTTAATCCAGATTTGTATCCAGATTTTTTAAGTGCTAGCTAATATTCTACTTTAGCTTGGTTGATATATGCATTAATAACAGATATAACAGCCTGGGAACAATGTGGCATAGAGTCTACTAACTTGACCATAACATCTTATGGAATCTTGGACTATTTTGATTCAATTAAAGCAAATAAGTCATTCTTATTTGTTGGTTTTTGACCTTTTAATTGACAATCTTGGTTTAATTGACAATCTATTCCCTTAAATGCTCAATTAGATTGTAATCAGGATTTTGTAATAACTACTTAAGAAAAGAAATATCTTAACATAGATCATAGTTTTGTTGAGATATCCATTATCATGGCATTTTCTCCTTAATATGATAAAGCAATTTATAATTGATTATCTCTATATACACATGTTGAACCATAATTCCTTTAATACAAAAAATATCCAATACAATCACAGCTGAAGCAACCCAAAATCATGTTTCCACCACCATACTGTTGGAAGTTGGTACTTAGGATTTATTTTTTGACCTACAAGATGTCAAACATGTTCCATCCAATCAAAATAGGCATGAACTTAGATTCATCACTCCAAAGAAGTTTTGCCCACTGATTTGCTATCCAATCAATACAAATTAAACTCGAGCTTTATGGTTCTTCACAGAAACAAGTGGTTTCTTCACTGGTCTTGTGCCAAACAAGGAAGCCTTACAAAGGCAACATTTGGTTGTCAACAAAGAGCATTTAACTTGATAAAACTTCATCATTTAAGGCCACAGCAGATTTTCTTGTAGCATTCCTACCAGCAATTTCCCCACTTTTCCATAGAGAGTCAATATTCCTTCTTGTACTTGGTTTCTTGTAGCATTCCTACTAGCAATTTCCCCACTTTTCCATAGAGAGTCATAGTGCTTCTTGTACTTGGTTACTATTTGAGGTTTATATTCTTTAACAAGTTGTCCAATACTGTGTTATATGTAAAAAAAAAAAAAATTTTTTGATTTTTTGGGGCGTTGAATAAAATATAGTATAAATAAATGAAAGATAGTATAAATAAATTTATTTTGCTTAGTTAAAAAATTTTATTTAAAAAATGAAAAAATTAGAAAAGGATTAAAATTTTCTTTAAATTTGTTTTATATTTTAAAACAACAACAATAACAACAAGATACTTATTTTCCTCAAAATTTACAATCTTATAATTACGATAATATATTAATAATAATAATAATAATAACAATAATAATAATAATAATAAAAACAATAAGAATAAGAATATTTATAATATTATAAATAATAAAATCAAAATATAATTATTAAGAATAAATATCAATAATTGATTAAGGAAGGAATCACTCATTCAGAGTCCTGATCAAAGGAGTGACACCAAATAGTTATATTAATAATATTAATTTAAAAAATAATAATAATATCAATAATAACTTTATTCATTAATAGAGCAAAAGTAACAGCAAAAATAGTAGTATTTATAATAATTGTAATGATAAAAATAACAGTAATGAAAGTAATAAATATTAATGACAAAAACAATAAAGTTTCTATAGAAATAATAAGAAAAAAAAAAGATTAACAAGAAAAGTAAAAGAAGTTAATAATGAAAAAAAATTAAAATTTTTTTTTTAGAATTTGTTTAAATTTATTTTGTTTAAATAAAGAAATGAAGATAAATTATTTTGAAATTTTAACTTTCAACGTTTTAACATTAAATTTTAAAATTCACACAACATTTTCATTCATACAAAATTTTTTTGCAATAAATAATGTAAAGATCAGGTAGTCTTCTTCGCGCACCCATGCTTTATTTTATTTATATTTGTATCTTTTTGCTATTTAACATGTTTTATTTAAATTTGATTTTTTTTTTGCTGAATTGTCATTCAGCAAATTGTTTTTATGTAAAAAAAATTGCTTTACATTGTTTGTCCATCAAACTTTACTATTTGGTTACATTATGGTTTGTCCATCAAACTATATGTTAAGTAATCTTTAAAGATTTCATCTTGAATCAAAAAGTTTCTCAAATTTTAATACAATATATTTATATAAGTCATCATCAAAGGCAAATATAGCCTTTCCTCTCTCTAAATCAAGTATTTATGCTTTCTTAAAGATTTGATACTTAGGAATGTTGTTTAAAAACATTGTTGTTTCATTTTTAACATTTTTTACAGAGTGCATCTATATGAAAATTCCATGAGAGGTTTGAACCTATAAAAGGTTATATTTAAAAGGTTATACTATAAAGGTTTTATTTTGTCATTCATTGACTTAATTTACTGAATAAAGTGATAGTTAAATGATTTTAATCAAGTACATTTAGTTGTTAAGAAGTAAATGTGCTTGAATGAATTTATCAAGTCGATAAATTGTGTCTATAAATGCCTGCAAAGACTTTAGGATAAAACTAAAATGGTAAAAAAACTTTAGCTTGTTTTTTTTAATTTCTTTCAATATCAATACATGTTTTGGGAGTTAACACAACATGTTTTAGAAGTTTTTGAATAACTATCTTTTTTTTTATTGTGTTGCGTGGATTTATTGTGAAGTAATATATTGTGAAGGCACATATTATGAAGTTACATATTGTGAAGGCACATATTGTGAAATTACATATTGTGAAGGCACATATTGGGTCCAAGGGTTAAGTTTTAGACAGTTTTAGAACTCTCCCTTTAATATTTTTAATAATATGGCTAACTTAAAAACAATTTGTATAATGAAAAATTGTTTAGTAAGTGTTTTAAAATGTTTTATTTAGGCTTATGTTGTTTTCTTCAGAGAAATGGGTTCAATTTGGGTTGCAAAACACTTGGGAGAAATAATTTCTCATATTTTGGAATTAGTAGCAAGTCAAAAATCAACTTCATCGCATATAGATAATGTTTATTCTCGAAAGTGCATTTCTTTCATTTTAAATTCTGTGCTTTGTGGTATGCTTCCAGAATCTTCAAAGATTCAAGCCATCAAAGAACTTTGCAAAATTATTTTAAAGCAAATAGAGGTCATTCATGGGTTGATAACATCTGAAAATAATTCTGAATTGATTATTTCTAATATGGATGTACGAAGTACTCAATATGTTCTTGTCTGCGCATTATCTGAGTTAAGCAATCTTATCCTAGCGCTTACATCATCTATTAAATCCATAATGGAAGAAATTGTTGACGCTGTTTTTTCAACACTTACTCACCCAGCACCAGCTGTTTGGCTATCTGCTGCATGGTGCATTAGATCTTGCGGTATCGCTCTTCCGTCTAATATTACTCATTTAATTGACCAATGTGTAAAGAAGATGAAAACACTGCGCTTTTCTGCAGACACAGTTGCAGGATATGGTTACACATTATCAGGTATTATTGGTGGATTACACATGTGCCCTCTTGGTTTACCTTTTAAAAAAGCTCAGGTAAATTTTTTTATATTTTTTGATTTTTAAATCTTATTGTCACATATTTGTGAATAATAAATATTTAGTGAATAGTTCATCTTTCGTGATTAATCACTATCACCTAGTAACATGTACCCTGTTCCTAGTAAAATGTACCCTGCTCCTAGTAACATGTACCCCTAATAACAATCTGTTATATTTATTGGTGAATTTTTTTGTTTTTTAAGTGTTCTAAGTTGGTTTAAAAATTGCATGATTGGAACAAATGTTTATTTTATTCATGTTTAATGTAAAATGATTCGATGTAGCACTTTTTTGATGTTAAATGATTCAATGTAGCTCTTTTTTAATTTTAAATGATTCGATGTAGCCTTTTTTAATGTCAAATGATTCAATGTAGCACTTTTTTAATCTCAAATGATTCCATCTAGCATTTTTTATCTCAAATGATTTGATATAATTTTTGTTAGTTGTTTTAAAGTGGTCTATTTTAAGTTTAAAAGAGGTTGTATTTGTTTTCTATTAGTAAATAATTTATTTTTTTATGCTTAATTTTTTTAATTCTTTTTATTCAATACAAGCAACAGCAATGATGACAATAACCAAGCAACAGTAGCGACATTAGTATAAATTAAACATTTTTTTTTATGGTCACGCTATTTTCTTTAGTGTTTTTTGATAAAACTATATTTTTTTTAAATTTACAAATGAAGAAAAACAAAAAATAATTTAATATTTAAAAAAATGTGTGTTCATAAAGTTGCAAATTTTATTTGCTGGTAAGGTTTGCAACGTTATACAATTTTCCACTTTGTTGTTGGTTTAATGGCTTTCTCTTTTAAGCTTTTTTTTATCTGTTTAGAGACCTCGTTATTATGCTATTCTATATATTATACTGTATACTTCAATGCATTCAAAGATTTTAATTGACCAATCATTGATTATAGAATTTTTTAAATTGCTTTATAGATAACTTTGTCATATTGTTTAAGATAATGAAAAATTTATATTAATTTTTTTATATTAGGCTGTATTTATTTTTACTGAGGAAATTTTTAAAAGTGCTTCCACCAATAGTAAGCTGCTGCAGACTGGTTGGGTTTTGTTGGGAAGCTTGTGTACACTAGGTATGATTTTTTAAAAACTATTAAAAAAGAATTTCTAAAACTTCATAAACACACACATATTCAAATAAATGCAAAAGGTTGTGAGGTTAGGAGCATGCTAAACTAGCTTCAGAATTTTTTTTTTTAACACATTTCTCATGGTGATTAACAAATTAATTTTATTTTACATAATTTAAAAGCTTATTTAATTTTAAGATTATGCAATAGTAAAATTCAGGTTGTTAAGGAATTTAAAGTCAGGGTTGTTGCCTTTCCAAGATTAGGGGTTTTTTTGAATTTGAAAATTACCCTGAACTAAATATTCCATACAAGGAGGAACTAATTATAAAGGACAAAAAAAAAGTTTATAGTTTTATTAGCAGTAGAAAAAAAAAATCAAAATCTGTATTGTATTTAAGTTGTTGTATTTATTTTCAAGTTAAAAATTAAGTTTATCATTATTTAACCATATTTTGTTTAACCATAAAGTGTTAAAAAAATAGTTTAAAACTTTTAGAAAAAAATAGTTCTAATGTCGATTCAACCTTACCAGTTGAATTTTAATAAAAAAATTTTATTAAAGGTGAGGAACTTTTAACTTAGGAAAACAAATAAAATTAAAAAAAAATCATAAAATTCTTAAAATTAATATAAATTAAATGTTTAAATTAACAACCACATCTTATATTATTTAACTTTTATTTTTTATATCCTTAAGTTTTTAATGAAATAACATTTATTGAAATGATATTTGATTTCATACTTTTTCTGTGTGCATTGTTTATGAATAAATTCATGCGAGCATAAAAAAAATAAAAGCGATATTTATCTAATAAAACCTTTTTTAAATTTTTCTAATTTTATTTAGAGCATAATTTATGTGTTTTTATTGGTTTGAAAAAGGCCTCTATTAGTCAGAAAAAAGAATAAACATATGAGTATTGGCAAACAATTGCATTTAATTATAGGACCTTCTTTTGCAAAAAAAAATCTTCCAAGTATGCTTGACTTATGGATGTCTGTCTTTTCATTTGAAAAAAGTGATCCAAATGTCGACAAAGGTAAAGGAAATGTAAAGACCTGGCAACTCACAATAGAAAATCGAGCAAATGCACTGTGCTGTATGTTAACTACTTAAATTTTTTCTTCCTTAGTATGTTTTTATAAATTAAAAAAATATTTTAAATAATTTCACAGACTGTATAAAGTTTTACTTTGTCTTTTTTGCAGTTGTTAGTTTCATCTGTGTGTGTGTGTACATATATTTAGTTACCTAATATAAATAATATATATATATATATATATATATATATATATATATATATATATATATATATATATATATATATATATATATATATATATATATATATATATATATATATATATATATATATATATATATATATACTGGTTGTATCATAAATTGTAAACTTTATCTTTTGTTTTTTTTTTTTTAAATTAATTTAAAAGAAAAAGTTGAGAAACTCAAAAAAAAAAATTTTTATTTTGGTTGATTGCCTGTCAAAACCAAATCTCTTAGTCAATGTAGCTCCTCACATGTTCTTTCTATTTGTCAGTCGATGTATGTAAAGAGTAAAAATAATAAATAAAAAAACATTCAAATTGTTTTAATTTTTTTTTTAAATAATTAAAGGTTTTCCAGTCTTTAACATTGCATTTTTGTGGTTTCTTAAAAAACAATAAAATTTAATTAGTTTCCTTAATTAAATTCAATAGTTTTTAAATAAAAAGTGCATAGAGTACTTGATTTTGTCACTTTTTAAGACAGAGAATTGTTAAGAGCTGTTTTTTACCACAAATGATAAGTATATATGCCAAACTATAGGAATATATATATATATATATATATATATATATATATATATATATATATATATATATATATTTTTTTTTACATTTTTTCAGCTATGTCTAGTTTTATTAAACATTGCAAGAGTTTATTGGTACCAGACGTTTTGAAGAAAGTAATGATTCCTGTTGAATCTGCTCTGTCTTTTTTATTACAGTGAGTTAGTTATGCTAATGATAATTCACTATATTTTAGAATTTAAAACAATTGAGTTTACTTTTATAAGATATATTTCAAAAGTATATAGTAGTATATTTTTAAATATTGTTATAAATTAGGAAATTACATTTTTCTTCTAAGGTTTCAAATGTTGTTGAAAATCCATGGACCGCAGTTAAGACCTGCAATTGCTATGTTTAAATCACGCTTATATTGCATCCTTCTTATGTTACCTGCAAATCTTTTTGAAGGTAAGATGATGTATTGATAAATTTTATCTCAAAAATTTGTAATCAAAAGTTTGTAATTTTTAGATTGTAGAAATTCTAGTTTATGAATAGTTGTAAAACCTTAAAAAATAGTTGTACTGTCAAAATTATGAGATAAAAAAAATTATATATGAGACAATTGTATTTTAAAATAGATTTTAGTTACAAGAAAATAATGTATTTACATATGTACTTACATAAGTTTTAATCTTTATTTACGACAGGTTATATCATTTTTCAATAGAGTTAAAATATAAAAGCTTATCAGCTTATCGTTTAAAGCTTTATCAGCTTTTAGATGATTAATCATATGTTCAGATTCATTATACATAGTTACAGGAAACAACTTCTTATTAATTTTTTTTTAAATTTGGGAAATTATGAATACAGTCCTAAAATTTTTGTTTTACCTAAAGATATTTGCAATTCAGTTTCTACCACGTTTTTTGTTACCTGTCTAATAATATTCTGTAATAGGAAAGTTATAAAATATTGTAGTCTTGTTATGAAATGAAAAATTATAAAAAAAAAAGTTACATAAACTTTTGTATACAATTTTTTATAAATAGACATTAAAAAAAGTATTAAAAGTTCCAGTCTTTTAGTCTTTTATTAGAGTGATTTTGCAGCCACATCATAATATTTGTACTTTTTAAATCACTTAAATCACTTTTTTGTTTTAGGCCTAAAAAGTAAAATGCTAAGAATGGTGCTCAATCTCAAGGTTTTCAAGTTTCCAAAAAAATGTGGGATTCCAGTATCTCAGGATTCCTAGACTTAACAACAACTCAATCTTTTTCAAGAAAAATCTAATACTGAAATTAAATCTTATTAAAAAAAGAATGTTTATTTTTGAAGTCAGCAAAGCTAGACCCAATTATTTAATTTTTTTTCCAAAAATTATTTAAGAAAAAAAAAATTTTTTTTTCTGGTCTTCAAATTTTTTCAACCAAATAAAATTTTTTTTAAACAATCAAATATTAGATTAGACTTTTTTATATCAAGCAGTTTAAATTCTGCAACTATTTCAAAATCAAAGTGATGCTATGTATTTTTTTATAATCAATTCAATACTAAACACATTTCTATTTACTTTGTATTACTATTTATATGCTGTAACAAAATTTAAGTTCAATATTTTCATGTAATAGGTCAAAAGATACATTTGTGTACTGTAGCATAAAGTTCAAAAAGTTTATGTTTTGTTTTAGAAATAGTTAGAACCTGTTCAGGTTTTAACTATTTCTAAAAAAAAAGTTCTGACTAGAAACCCTATTCAAACTTATATTTTTTTAGAAGTACATTTTTAGTTTTGACATTATTGTCTAGGCTTTTTTACTCCATTATTACGAAATTTGGCTGCAGATTTTACATTGGTTGATCAAGGTTCTGTTACTACTTCTTTGTTACAATCTTTGTGTCATAAAGATGACAATATTTTACTTGGTTCATGGGTTCAAGAAACTGATTATAAAGATGTTGAAGAACAGGTTTTAGTTTTTTTTTAAATATATACATATTTTTTTATAGTTTGGTGAAAACTGATTTTATAAATTCTAATTATTTTAGCTTCAACTTAATAGTGCTGCTGGATCAGGAGCCCTTGAACATGATTCATTTTGTATATACTCTAATCTTTCTGAGGTTTGTTGTCCTTATACGTAATTATATTTTTTATAAGTATATTTTAAACAGATTGCAATTGCAAATAATTTACAGACACTAAATTATAAATTTTTGATGTTAAATTTTGCTAAATTACACTAAGTTACGCTCTACTGACATTAAATTGCGTGATATTCAATAAAACTAAATTAAATTTTAATTTTATTGAATATTTAAGCAAACTTTATTTTAAATTTTTTTTCATAAGAGATTTTATTTACTTTGCAAAGGGAGAAAAGATTCCTGGTCCTCTACCACTCGGAGTTGCTGTAGTTGATGCAGCAATTAACTTATTTGGTAAATTGTTCCCATACTTACCCAGCAAACATTGTGCACAACTGATGAATCATTTTAATGACTGCATTATCAAGAATAAAGGTGCAAGGCAGCAAGCTATACATACTAATATTTTTACAGCTTTCTTAGCAGCATTAAAGGTATGCTAGTTAATTTGATTTATAATAATTTTAATTGTTAAAAATAATTTTTTTAATACAACTGTATTAAAAATGTTATATTTAATGTATATTATAGCAAAATATGTTTACAAAAATATTTTATAAATAAATAAAAAATTTTATTAAAAAATTAGTAATATTTTTATCATTTTATAAGCAGTAATACACTAACCAAGAAACTCTTAGCTACCCTCAAACTATTTATTTAAAATGAATTAGGTGAAAGTATATACAAATGTATAGTGATATCCAACTCTATACAAGTGTATTGTGATATGCCACTATATACAATTGTATAGTGATATCCAACTCTATACAAGTGTGTTGTGATATGCCACTATATACAAGTTTATAGTAATGTGCCACTATATACAAGTGTATAGTGATATGCCACTATATACAAGTGTATAATGATATGCCACTATATACAATTATATAGTGATGTGCTCCAATATATAAAGTGTATAGTGATATGCTACTATATACAAGTGTATAGTGATATGCAACTATATACAAGTTTATAGTGATATGCAACTATATACAAGTGTGTAGTAATATGCCACTATATACAAGGGTAAAGTGGGTCAGAGCAGGCAAAAAATATTTAAAACAATTTTATTTCATAAATTTTAAACCAGTTCACCTAAAAAAGTATATTTTTTATTATAAAATCTACCCACACCTATTTCTCTGATTGGAATTAAGGTTATAAATACCAAATAAATAACTTAAAAACAGATGCCAATTTGTTTGAATTTTTTAAGGAAACAAAACACATAGAAACTCTATTAATTATTTCAAAAAACTAATAATGTTACAAAATATTATTTACCGTGGTCTTGTTATTCACTTTTTTAAGTTGTAAGTTTGAGTAATTTTACATGTGATAAAATGTGTTTAGGCGTATTATTAAACAAGAACTTTCATTAGATTAAAAAAAAAAAAAAAATTAAATTTAACCTGTAATTTACTGAGGTTAACCATAAGAGTTAAAGTGTTTACTTTGAATGTAGCTTTTAGTTAATATCTAATCAACTACATCAGTTTAAACAAAAAAATAAAAATCAAGGAAATAAATTAAACAATAAGTCAATAAATTAAACAGTTGATAAGCAGTTACAGTTATCTGAAAAAATATTTTAATTAAATGTTTTTGATTGCTACATCTACTGATCATGCAAGTTTATATACAGGCTTCTACACCTTAAAGTTCATTAAAGTTACCTAACAAGTAATAATGCTCAAGTAGTTTATTTATTTGATAAATAAATAAACTAATTGAGCATTGTTTTTTTGCTTGGCCATAATTGATTGAAAGAAATCTTATGGAAACATTCTATTTTGTGGTCACACTCACATTTGTGATTTAATTTGTTTAAAGCTATTTTACGTATGTTGTTCATTTCATTTTTTTAATACAAGTGTCCAATTTATGCATAAATGGGTGTTCAGTTTAATGCAAGAAAGGGTGTCTAGTTTTGAAAATTTGTTTTAAACCATCCAGTGTCCAACCAAGGCAAGATCAGTCATATTGCCTGCATCATGGTGATGAAGTAAGATGGTACATAAGTATAAGTTTACCAGAGGTTGCCTTTTCCTTACAATTGCCACCATAATACTATCTAATGTTTATTTATTTTGTGTAGTCATTTTTATTTGTAAACAATCTTTTTTTTTTTAGAACCTATCAGATAGTAAATCATCTTTTGATGATACAACCACTCTGACACATGCTAAAACGCTTATTCTAGAAGCTCTTGGAAACACAGACAACATCTTAAGATGCGCTGCTGGAGAGGCATTAGGAAAGTTGGCACAAGTTATGAATGACAGAAATTTTGTTGCACTAATGGCTCAAAATAGTTTTGATAAATGTCAAAAAATGTCTGATGCCTATGTTAGAACTGGTCATGCTCTATCACTCGGTTGTTTACATCGCTATGTTGGGGGAATGGAATCTGGTCAACATTTAGGAAATAGTGTATCCATATTAGTGGCCTTAGCTAAAGATGTTTCATCTTCTCTAGTTCAGGTTTTATTTTTAATTTTTTCACAAGTCCATTTATATGTGAATATTGATTTGATATAAGATTGCATTAAATCAGGGTTTTGGTTTATGAATTAACTATCCAATAATGGATGATTAATCACATGATTTTTTAGATACCAGAATTTTGCTACAAACCTTTATCAGAAGTTTATGGCAACATTATGTTTTCTTGAAAAAAATTCTAAAGTTTACATTTTATAAACAATTTAAATTCTTTTCAATTTGCACTTTTTCTCTTTCTTTTTTTTTAATTGAAGTTTTATAATGATTAAAAAATAGGAAAAAAATGTTTAACTTAAGACAATGGTATATTAAGGTATGGTCATTGCATGGGTTGACTTCAATTGCAGATTCCGGTGGTCCAATGTTTCGAACATATGTTGATCAGTCATTTTTCACTGTGATTGACCTAATGCTGAATACTCCTTCATCTGCAATAGAGGTGCATCATTGTCTTGGAAAGTGTGTTAATGCACTTATTACTGCTATTGGACCTGAATTACAAGGTAAAAATGTGTGCTTGCATCTTTCTCTCATATATAACTATATATATATATATATATATATATATATATATATATATATATATATATATATATATATATATATATATATATATATATATATATATATATATATATATATATATATATATATATATATATATATATATATATATATATATATATGTATGTATATATATGTATATGTATGTATATATATGTATAGGCACATATATGTATTCATACATACATATGTATGGCATACAAATAGTAAAAGTATATTATTTGTTTGCAAATGTATTTACTATTGCAATTAACATGTGCCAAACTTTTCAACCACATATTATACATAGTAGGGTGTTAAAAAATGCATTTGCACATAATAGCTTATTAGGCATTATGTTTGATGTAATATGGCATGATATATGGCATGATATATGGCATGATATATGGCATGATATATGGCATTTGAGTTCTAACTATAAAACACAATGGAGAAAGTGTGGAGTTTTCTTTGCACAAAAAGCTGGTTGAGATCAACAGAAATATGTTGTTAAAAATGTTTTTGTTAATAAAAAATGCTGTTATTACCAAAAATATTTTGTGTGTGTGTTTTAGATGTTAGGTATTTTATTATTTATAGTTTTTTATTTTATTTTTTATTATTAGGTAGTTTTATTATTGGGTATTGTTTGCAATAAACAACTACTTCAAATTTATTTACAAACAACACCCAATGTCTAAAGCGCAAAAAAATTCAATATCAAGAATAAAATCAGAACACCTTTTTTACACATGTAAAGAACCAATAGTAGAAAAATTATCAAAAAGAAAAATAGCATCACGCTTAAAAAGATGTTCAATATATACTGTCATTTGTGTTGCTTGTATCAAGTGCATCAAAAGCTTTTAATTTCATATTAAAATTTATTTTTTTGTAAAAAATAAACATCCTTTCAAACCACCTTATAATCACTTTAAAGTAACCAACAAAAATTACTGCATCCAATCATTTGACTTTGATGAATAAAAACATCTGTTCTAATGATTGACATTTTAAAGCAATTTAGAACACTTAAAAAAACACATGTCAACAATAAAGAAACAAACTATAAATTCTTATACTTTAAAAAATTATGTTTATGGTTCTGGCATTCATGCTACTGGTGTAGGTGTCTTACAAACATCTCAGATTAAAGTTTTTTTGTACTCAGTCTTACCTCTAATAAGCTTTTGTACTCGGTCATAACTCTAATAAACATTTGTACTTGATCATAACTCTGCTAAACTTTTATGCAACTCACCATTTGGTTATGTAATTTTTTAAATTGTTTTATGTTTATATTATTTGTTTGTTTGTTTTTTTAAATAAAAAAAGTTCAATTTATTTTCCAGATTTTTTTAAATTGAAATACAAAACAAAAAAAACAGAAAAGTATAATTGAGTTTGACAACAAGTAAAATAGTGACACAACAAAAATATGCTTTTTTTTTTAATATCTTTACTTTCTGGGCTGCAAGCAACCACTATTAGAGTCCAACTATGTTTACTATGCGTTTTTGCACCTTGTCTAAAAGAGAAAGGGCATCATTTAAAGATCCACTTTAGATATACAGTGTTGTACACTATATTTTTAGATGTTTGAATTTTGACACTTACAGGCATTGTACAAACTCCAAACTTTTGTATGTTCATGCTTATGTCAAATGAGAATGTTTTGCAAAGAGTTGTAAACTTTGTAGGGTCATAAAAACTAAACACTAAGAGGTTATTGCATGAAATTTGAAATTTGTTGATGAATATAAACTTAGATAAAAATACTAAAGAAATTATTTTATCAACTTGTTGCTCCCGTGTTAAGGGCTGGGTGGGCCCAAAAATTGGATTTTTTTTGTCCCCAAGCTCCAATCACCGCAACTCTTTGCAAAACATTCTCATTTGACATAAGCATGAACATACAAAAGTTTGAAGTTTGCACAATGCCTGAAAGTGTCAAAACTTAAACATCTAAAAATTCAGTGTACACCACTGATATAGGAACAGTATTCCATACAAGGACGGATTAGAGATTTATAAAGATAAACAATAGAATCCAGAATAAGAAAGTATCAAGCATGACAAAGAAATTCAACCTTAGAAGATTTAATATATAGTTTTCGAAAAAGAGTTATTCCTAGAAGATGAATAGTAGTTGACTCATAATACATTATTGTTCATAAGTATAAGAAAATCTAGAATATTGTGATAAGGATTAGCTGAAAAAAATTGGGTTTTATCTGAGTTAAAGTTCACCAGCCATTGAGAACCCCAAGCTATTGCAGAAGTGAGAACCTTTTCAAGCTTAAATACCTTCCAAGCAATCAGAGAGTTTTGGCTTCTTATCAAGACAAGAGTAAATGATAGTATCATCAGCAAGCAATGCCACTTTAGATTTGAGATTTTCTGGGAGATCATTAATGTATAGGGCCAAAGAAAAAACTTTAAGGAACCTATGAAGTTACAGGAAATTAAGTAGAGTGCTGACCATTGATGAAAACTTTTATACTTCAATTGGTAAGGAAGGATTCATTAATCTTAAAGATGTTACATGATAAACCATAAGAAGATAGCTTATGGAGATAACCAGCATGCCAAACTTTATTAAAGGTCTTTAGAAATGTTGAGACCAATAGCCCTAAACTCTCCACATCTATCTAATGCACGATAAAATTTATTGGTTTTTATTATTATTATTGGTTATTATATTTTTATTACAAATAAGGAGTAGAGCAAGTAGATCCAAATAGTATGATCCAAATGATCATCAGAATTTTTGAAAATAGGGATAGCAGATGCCACTTTCCAGCAGGAAAACAAGACTCTGATAAGCACTTAAATAATTAAAATATAAATTATAAGTATAGACAATAGCTCCGGAGAACACTTTAGCAAGACTACAACAGGTATGTTGTCCAAACTACAAGCTGTTGAAGATTTTAAGTAAGAAATCACTTTAGATGCAGAAGCTAGAGTGATACAAATGTCAAGAATTAGATTAACTTGTTTGTTGGCTATATCAGGTAGGGTGTGATTAGTGGGTTCAAGAAATGAGGTTGATATAAAGTTCTTAGCAATCAATTGAACTTTGTCTTTAGGTGAGGTAACACCTGTTTGTCTTTAGGTGAGGTAAAATCTGAACCATGCAAGAGAGGCGGAGAAGAGCAGCTTATGTATGTCACATGAATAATGCTGAGCAATTACTCAAAAAACTCTAAGTACAAGCAATTGCTTTTTTCTATTCACCTGGTTTATGAAAAAAGTGTTTATGGTTAGTAATTGTTGCAGCACAGTGAGAAGAAAACCATTGAGAGGAGTAAGGTTTAATTTGGAATCATTGAGAGGGAATAAAAGATTCCATGCCAGCCTGAATCTAAGAAGTTTCATAAGAAGCACATTTTTCCACAGGAAGACAAAAAGTTTCTACCCAAAAGTCATCACGAAGAAAATCACAGAAAGAGTCCCAGTCAGCTTTGAAATAGTTGTAAGAGGTACAATGATAGGGGGATTCTGATGATGAAGAAGAATGAGATAATAGTTTTAGAGAGATCAAATTGTGACCAAAAGCACTTAATGGTGAATGTGGAAAAACTAAACACTGACTAGGATCAGAAACAAGATATAAGTCAAGTAGAGAAGGTAAATGATTTGGATTGTCTGTAAAGCGACTTGAAAAATTGACTATTGGTGTTAGTGATTGAAAAAGGCTAAATTTGTGGTCCCTAACACTTACAAAGTCACTTACACTATAGCCAAGCCATTAAGTCAATTTGTTATTTTGATCAGAAATAACATCGAAAAGAGTGCAGTCTTGAGATGAAGGAGAGCAATATAGAATAAAGATGATAGAGTGAAGTGGTGCTAAATGAAAGCACATAAAATAATAGCCTGTGGATTCAAATCTAGTTTTCCAACAAACGGGTAAATTTTTATGAATGTAAATTCCCAGGCCAAGTATGTGATTAATGGAGTCTTTTTGAATTAAAGGAAGATAACCATCAATACTAAAATTGCAAGATGAGACAGCTGAACTCAAATTAGTCTCACAAAAAGCAAGTAGGTCTGGTGAATTTTGCAAGAGATAAGACTTAAAAAAAGAAATGTTACTTTGAAGGTCACAAATATTAGTGAATGATAGGTTTAGAGAACTTGGTGATGACAATAGTTTTTTGTGTTTTGGTACCTTCGTCATTTTTGTATTTGTTAAAAACTTGAGTCAAAGCACAGATAGGACTCAGTACACTATTTAATAGTCGAATTGCCTCATTACTATTAATAAACACTAAGCCGCAATCAAGGTCAAAATGTGGCCTCGACAATGCACACTAAAAGTACAAACATAGACATTATCCATGCACAACATGGCACTGTTAGTTCTCTGATTCTTCAGAGTACAGCTGTTGAAGAAATCAGCCTTTCTAAGAGCTACCACAGAGTTTAGGAAACCTGACTACCAGCCAGCCTCACTGGTAGTCAGGTTTCCCACCATAAAACTGAGTTTTAGTACTGTACATTTATTAGGCAATTATAGAATGAGTTTCCTAGTCATAAAAACAGAGACACGAGCAAAAGCGATAAATTGAATCAAGAAGATCCAGCATCTTAACATCCTAAACTGGAAACAATGTATTATAAATACATCTATGCCAGCCTAATAGATTAAGAAGAAGTGCGAAGCTGGTCAACAGATAGAATCTGTTTACCCTTTAAATCTATGCCTAGGAAGCCTTCTACAAGATAGTAGCCGGATGCATTTAATGTCTACCCAAGATGAGTATTTTTATCAAGACACCATCTCTAGCCTTTAATCAACCAAGAGCCCGAAGGCAGGGAGTTTAATAAGTCAGAGTTAGCTTTTCTTAGCCTTTGCCTAAAAAGCGTATCCTACAAAGCATCAGGACATGAAGCAGGTTGCACTGGGTTACATGTTACTAGTAGCAGGATAACCTGACCTGACCTTAAAGTATTTATATGAAAAACTACTCATTTTACTTATAAAAATGCCAAAGAGCTGTAAAGCTGTGAAAAAAAAATAAAAAACCGAGCTAAGTTCTAAATGCTTTCATGAAAATAATTTTATTAAGCACCCATAAACTCAAAGATTAAATTAAATAGATCAATCCATCTACGCATAGCAATTGTCTTACATAATATTTTTTTTTGTATTTATATATTTTATATGAAAAAGTATATTGAAAAAAAAACATTTTACCTGATGGTTGTGAATAGCATGAAACTTCTAGTAATAAAAATCATGTAGTTTTATTCTAAATCTATTATAGCTCTCATTTAGTTTATTGAGCACTTTGTTCAAAGTATGTGCAAAGCAACATCAATTCACCATCTTAACTTTTAGATAATTTACTGAAGCCATTGCTTATTCTTATTTCAGTATGATGATAATAATGGCATTTTGTGTGGTACACATATTTTTGTACATTAAATAAATTTCATAAATAAGAGAGGTAAAGTCACATAATCATGTGTTTTAAAATTATTTTTGGATGGGACTAGTGTCTAAAATATACCTAACAAATATTTTAATAATTTATTTATTTGATTATTTTGTATTATATTAATATTGTTTTTTTAATTAAAATTGAGTTTAAGCAAAAAAAATAATAATTAATTAGGTTTAGATTCAGGCTTCAATTTTGTGGAATTTCAATTCAAGTTTGGTTTTAAAAAATTGTTGCTTTTATTTGAATTTTTTTTATTTAATAATTTCAATCTTATTTGTTACATTTTTCACTTTAATTGATATTTTAAACCGAAAATGCTTTTATATAATGTTTTAGATGACTCAAAAAAGATGTTGCGTACACGAATGTTTTGTATGTCTGCATGTTCAATTATGCAAAACCACCCTGATTCTTTTGTACAATCAGAGAGTATTCATTGTTTACAACAACTTCACTTATTTGCTCCAGATCTTGTCAACTTAAGCAGTCTAGTTCCATTTTTGTGTAACATATTATTAAGTCCACATCTTTTACTCAGGAAAGCCAGTATTGAGTGTCTTCGTCAGTTAGCTCATAGGGAAGCAAAGGATATCAGTCAGTGGAGCAAAAGTACAATTGCTAACAATCCTGATATTGTTAAAAAGATGTTTAATGCAAACTATGGTCTGGAAGGTAATTTAGTTTCTTTTGTTGTTTACTTTTTTCTTTTCTTTTTTTTTTTTATGGCTTTTAAACCTGCTTTTTAGGCCTTTTGTTTAGTTTATTGGATGCAGAAGTTGATATTTACATACTGAAACACATTCGTGAAATTATTTCAAGCTTACTTATAGCACTTGTAGATAAAGAGCTTAAAAGTTGGTTGAGTCTTTGTAAGCAAGTTGTACTTGCTTCAAATATCAATGAAGAACAAAATGAAAATTTTGGTTCTGGTGCTGGTGCTGGTAATCTATTAATATTTATATTTGAAAATATTTTTATAATTATAAATCAGTTGTATTACACACACATACACACACACACACACACACACACACACACAAACACACACACAAACACACACACACCAGGCCTTGTTTTAAATAAAAAACGGATTAGCTCATTAGCTCTTTATGATATTGACATCATAAAATTTTATTAATTTTTTTATTATTCAAGGACATTAACTTTTTTAAATTACCGCAATAAAATAAATTACCGTAAAACAAGTTTATTAAACTAATTAAGAAATACAAATTTTTAAATGAACATATTGTGGAATGTCTATTTTGTTTCAACTATTTTTTTTTTGTTTTTTATTTTTTTTTTTTTTTTTTTGTTTTTTAAATAATTTACTTTTTTATTATCATTCAACATAAATTAATATCTTTCTTTTCTCAACATTTGTATAAATGAATTAAAATATGTTTTTTTTTTTCATTGTTTCTTAAAATTGTGGCTTCACAAATAATGATTTTTTACTTTTAAAATGTTGTTAACAAACAAAAAGTATTACTTGTTGCAAAGAAAAAAACTTAAGTTAAAAACTTTACCAGCCCTTTTTTTTACAAACAATGATTAAAGTTCCAAGTATCATTTATTAAAAAATATATACCATTGCGCTTTCGCTTGTCTTGAGACAAAAAAGTTAAATGTACCCTTTATGAATATTTTTGATGTATTGTTACAACATGTTTACAAGGAATTTAATTTTTTGTAAAAAATAGAAAAGGAGGTAGAATAACTGAGAATAACTAATTTTTTTTTATTTAAATAACTTTTTGTAATCAAACTCTTTCTTAATTATAAGGAAATTTCTGTTTTTACTTTTTTGATATCGCAAAATCTGTTATTTATATAATTTGATTTAACTTATAAAACTCTATTTTTCTAAACTATTATTTTTCGCAAAAACTTATAAATATAAACAAAGACTTTGCAAAAGCTATATTGCTTCAAGCCTAAATTCAAGCAAAAAAAATAATATTAGAGTTATATCCTTAAAAAAAGTTTGTTTTTTTTTTTATTAAAAAAAAAGTTTGTTTAAACAACATCGTGATGAATTATATTTGGGTAATTATTTTTGTTATTGTTTGTTATGAAAAATTGTCTAAATAAATATTCTTGCAAGATGATAAATAAAAAATTATTTTATTATGTTTATTTTATGATTTCTTTTTTTACATTTTTAATTTTTACATTTTTTATAACATCTTTTTTTTTTTTCTTTTACTGAAATTCTTGATAGAAAAGTTAGGTTAATAAAAATACATTTGTTTTGTTTTATTTTTTCTTTCAATTGTCATGCAAACTTTTTTATGTTATCATCATTTAAACTTCACTATTGGTTTTTATAAAGTTAATTACTTCTTTTATCTTACTGCTTAAATCATTTCTTTAGACTTGTTTAAATATTAAAAAATGGCGTACCAATTTATGCTTCAAATTAAGCCCTCACTCACACAGACTATATTGCTTATGAATAAGCATTATAATCAATATTAAATAAACATTATAAGGAATAAGAGGAATCACGAATTATGCAGACAAGTCAAGGATCACAACATCTTTCTTTTTTAATAAAAAGTATAAAATATAACTAAGTTGTCCTCTTAATTAAAATGTCATTTAATTTGGTTTTGTTTTTTGTTAAGTGAAGGTAAGTTTTATTATTTTCAAACAATCAGCAGAACAATTTATTACTGCTAAGACTTAAGTCATCGCAAATTGCAATATCTGGAAATGCTTCAGATCTTTAAATTATTAGTTTTTTAAAAACCGTAAACTCTATTTTTATCAATAAACCAAAAGCTGTTATTTAATAAAAAATATTTATATTTATCTTGAATTATGAAATAAAATCTCAATATAAAACCATATTATTATTATTATTTTTATTACTATTTTTATTATTATTAAAAATTATGATTTAATACTTTATATAGAATTAACGACAGAGGAGTTTGAAAACCTCCTCTGTTGTTAATTTTATATAAAACAAAAAACTATTTTAAATCAATGATAGTTACTTAAAAAATTAACTCTTACTTTAAAACATTATTTTATTATCATTTTTATTATCATTTAATTAATCTCTAACATCTAAATTTTTAATTAATTAGTTCTTCAAAGTTTCTCCTGAACACAAATAATTTGCAAATAGCTAAAGTATAATTTTTTATTGATAGATTTTAAAATTATTGTGCATAATTTTTGGACCTTTTGTAACTGTATATATATATTTTTTTTACTTTTTTTTTATTAATTTAATAAAATTTAACCTGTGTTTAAAGGGATACCAAACCTCCGAGACATGTTGTGTTCATATTAAAGAGAATGATAAAAAAAAAATGATTGGGCTAAATTTTTTTGAATAAAACAAAAGAATAAATGAATACCAAGAAAAACTAACTTTTTCATTTTAGTCAAAGCTCACCTTCTCCATTTTAGTGTAAGCCTAAAAGTCAGCATAATATATGCTGCAATGTACAGACTTAATTTAAGTACGTTTTATTCCTGAGAGTTTCAATACATGATGTCATTGATTTTTTTTTTTTTTGTGTAAGAGATCAATTATGTAAAGCAGCGAAAAGTCAATGATGTTATGTGCTAAAACTCTTAGAAGTACTTGAATAAATTATTAAGTCTGTACATTGCCGCATATATTATGCTGACTTTTAGGCCTACAATAAAACAGAGAAGGTGAGCTTCGACTAAAATAAAAAGTTAATTTTGTGGTTTTTATTAATTTTTTTTTTGTCTAGCCCAAGCATTTTTTTTTATCATCCTTTTTAATATGAACACATGTCAGGAAGGTTTGGGATTCCTTTAAACAGTGAAAATATGTAAGTTTTGACTGTTATCATTTTGCATTCATACATTTGTTTTGTTTTTCATTAATTTTTGCAATATGGTAAATTGAACTTTTCATTAAAACGGTGTTCATGGTTTTTAATAAACTGATTTGAAGACCAGAAATACTTCCAGATTTCACAGTTTGTGATCACTTAATTTGCGTCTCGACTGCTAGTTTTATATCTTTTTTTTGTAAAAGCTTTTTAAATTTTCTACTACTTTCTTACCATCTAAATTTCTCTCATAAAATTTGCACAAATCAAATTTTTAGGTAATAAAATCTGTATCAACAAGTAGTTTAATAATTATAATAATTAATAAATTATAATAATAATTAAATATAATAATAATTAATAAATTATATAGCTAAACAACAATTTTTATATTTGCGTTTGCAACTTGTAATTTGCAATGTAATTAGCTTGTTTCTCTTTGTAGCAGCCTTGTTTGTCAAGGTCTGTGTTTCAGAGTTAAAGAGCTGAGAGAGGGTTGTATCACAATAAAATAGCCTCCTGACTGTAGTGGCCCTATCAGCCTTAAGAAAGGTGAATAGCATAAAATTTTTTGTTATTTACGCCGTCAAAATGTTCTAAAATAGTTTGCCACATTTTGTTATAATTCTTGTGTTTCAGTACAGTTCAATATCTGTTCCAAGTTTTTACCTTTTTCAATATTGTAACTATTTCATTAATTGTGAAGCAAGGCTATGCAAGCATCTAGCTTTTTATAAGGCTTTCAGTAATTTTTTGGTTGGTCCAAATTTTGCCTTCAATAGAGCTCGCTACTTTTACCAATTTTAGTAGTTGGTACAAGAGACGCTAGATCTTTAGAGCAGTGCCCATTTTAGTATTTGTAGAAAAGAGAAAAAGAAGCAATGTGACAAAGGTTGAAGGTTGGCTGCAAGAGCAGGTCCAACTATGTTTACAATGCAATTAAGATCAGAAGTAAGAGTTAATCCTAGAAGATGAAGGGTAGATGACTCATCGAATACATTACTGTTTATAAATATAGGAAGGACTAAATTATTGCAATAATGATTGGCTGAAAAAACTGAGTTTTATTTGAATTAAAGTTCACCAGCCACTGTGAGCCCCATGCTGTAGCAGAAGTGAGATCCTTTTCAAGCTCAAATGCCCATGCAAGCAATCAGATAGAGTTGGCTTCTTATAGTGATAAGAATAAATGATAGTATCATCAGCGAACAATGCCACCTTAGATGCGAGAATATCTGGAAGATCGTTAATGTAAATTAAAAAGAGTATAGGGCCAACGATTCAACTTTGAGGAACCCCTGAGTTTACAGAATAAGAAGAAGAGTGCTGTCCATCAAAGACAACTTTTATACTACGATTGAAAAGAAAGGATTCAATAATTTTAAAGATGTTTCCAAATACACTGTAAGAAGAAAGCTTATGGAGAAGGCCAGCATGCCAAGTTTTATCAAACGCTTTAGAAATGTCAAGAGCGATGGCCTTAACCTCTCCACCTTTATCTAATATGCGATAAAACCTAGTGGTTGTTACTGTTAGCAAATCAGGCGTAGAGCGAGAAGATCGAAATCCATATTGATGATCAGAAAGTAGGTTATTAGATTCAAGTTAAGAAATTAATTGTTTGTTAATTAAAGATTCAAAAACCTTGCTAATGATAGGAAGAAAACTAATGGGACGGTAGTTGGAAAAATCAGATCGTTCTCCAGAATTTTAAAAATTAAGGATAACAGATGCTGCTTTCCAGCAGGCTGGAAAACAAGACTCAATAAGACAAGATAAGCATTTGTTGAATAGTTTTGAAAGGATAGACGACAGCTCCAGAGAATATTTCTGCAAAAGTATAACAGGTATGTTGTTCAGGCGGCAAGCTGTAGAAGAGTCTAAGCAGGAAATCATTTTAGATACAGAAGCTGGAGTGATACTGATGTTGAGTAATAGATCAACCTGTTTGACGGCTATATCAGGTAGGTAACGCAACTAGTGGAATCAATATTGATATTGATGAAAAAGATATATGATCAAAAAAGATATATATCAATAATGATATTGATGAAAAGTTCTTAGCAAACAATTCAGCTTTGCCTTCAGGTGAGGTGACAAAGTCTGAACCATACAAAAGAGGTGGAATTACAGACTTGCCCTTATTATTGATACTATTAAAGATTCTCCAAAAGTCACAAGAGCCTAATTTTTGAGATGAAATACAAGATTTCATGATCTGAGAATAGCAGGCTTTGGCGTTAGACAAAACCTTTTTACAATGGTTTCTAGCAGTAATAAACAGACATCTGTTTTCTGGAAAATTGTTTTGCTGATAGATATGGAAGTAATGGTTTCGATTGGCAATTGCAGCAGCACAATGTAAGGAAAATCATGGAAAAGAGTGAGGCTTGACCTGGAATCGTCAAGAGGTAACCTAGTTTCCCAACAAATGGGTGAAATCTTATGAATGTAAAAGCCCAGGCCAAGCATGTGACTATTGGAGTCTTTACGAATTAAAGGAAGATAACCATCAACACTAAGATCACAAGATGAGACAGCTGAACTCAAATTAGTCTCACAATGAGCAAGTAGGTCACAAAGAGCAAGTAGGTCTGGTGAACTTTGCAAGAGATAAGACTCAACAGAAGAAAAGTTACTTCGAAGTCCATGAATATTAGTGAATGATAGGTTTAGCGAACTTGGTGATGACTGTGGTTTTTTGTGTTTTATATTTTTTGTTACTTTATTCATTTTTAAATTTGTTAAAGAAAATTAAATCGAAACATAGATAGTACTTAGTACACTGTTTAATAGCCCAAGCGATTGCCTTATTACAATTAATAAACTCTAAGCCGTAACAAAGGGCTCCGATGTGGTCTTGGCAATGCATACCAATAGTACAAACAGGGATACCATCCATGCGCAACATGGCACTATTAGTACTTTTATATTTTACAGCTGTTGATGGAATCAGCCTCTCTGAGAGCTACCACAGAGTTTGGGAAACCTGACTACCAGCTGGCCTCAGAACCATAGGTTCTGAGGCCAGCTGGTAGTCAGGAGAACTTAGGTTGGTCAACAGATAGAATCTGTTTACCCCTGAAGTCTTTGTCTAGGAGGCCTTCTACAAGACAACAGCCGGATGCATTTAACATCTGCCCAAGATGAGTATTTTTATTGAGACACCATCTTTAGCCTTTACTTAACCAAGAGCCCCAAGGCAGGGGGTGTTTTATGGCATCTCCTAGCCTTTACCTAAAAAGGCATATCCTACAAGGCAGCAGGACATGAAGCAGATTGTACTGGGTTACATGTTACCAGTAGCAGGATAAACCTGGCCTGACAATATTTAATTCCATTTTTAAATGACCTTTGACCTAACAATAATTAATTCCAGTTTTTAATTTCATTGCCGTACTTTTTATTTCCATTGCAGTGTTTTTTATTTTCATTGCAATGTTTTTTATTTTCATTGTAGTGCTTTTTATTTCCATTGCAGTTTTTTTTATTTTCATTGCAATATTTTTTAGTATTTCCATTGCAGTGCTTTTTATTTTCATTACAGTGCTTTTTATTTCCATTGCAGTGCTTTTTTACTTCCATTGCAGTGTTTTTTATTTTCATTTCATGCTTTTTAGAAAATTGCTCTTGCAATCTATACATTTTATTAAAATTAAATTTTTTACTTTAGAACTTTTTATTTATTTTAAATAAATAAAATTACTGTATTTATTTTTTAATTATTAATAATATTGAGCATTCTCCAACACACATAAGTATTTTTACTAACATTTTTATTAACATAAATATTTTTACTTATAATTTAATAATAATTTTTTTTTTTTTACTAAATTTAATTTAGCTGATGAAGATGAAGAAGAAGATGGTCAAATTGTGCTTAATTCAAAATCAAATGATACACCTATTATTACTCCAAAATGGCCAACCCGTGTTTTTGCAATGGAATGTCTTCGAATGATTATTGATGTGTGCAAGAATTATACTGAGCATATGGATTTAAAAGAAGCAAGGAAACTAAAAAACAATGAAAGTAATTTTTAAAACTTTTTTTTTTTTCTTTTTGCTATTTGCAAAATTTAAAATAATAAAAATATTTTTTTAATATTGATAATATTATATTTATTATTATTATTATTAAAAACTTATTTTAACCATACAATAATATATTATTTAGTTTTTATGTAAAAATATTTCAAAATAGTATGTAAAATGAGAACAACCGATAAAACTTTATGAACTTTATTATTAATGAAATATTATAAAATATATCTTAATCATTATTTAGTTTTCACTATATTATTTGCTCTATCATTTATATAACACACTGTATTGAGTACTCTTACTGGAAATATTAACATAATTCATATATATATATATATATATATATATATATATATATATATATATATATATATATATATATATATATATATATATATATATATATATATATATATAAAGATATACATATATATAAAGGGGCTATTCTAGAATGTTTTCGATAAAAAAGCGTCAACCGTATTTGGGCGTTGTCGAAATTAAAATTTGAGGACCTTTTTTTAATTTTTTTTCATGATTTTTTACCGCAAATATATATATTTTTTTCGCAAAAAACACGCAGATTTTCCGCTAAAGTTTGCCAGAACGAGGGGGTACCGACACCCAAATTTTTTTCCTAGTATAGGCCCTGATATATATATATATATATATATATATATATATATATATATATATATATATATATATATATATATATATATATATATATATATATATATATATATATATATATATATATATATATATATATATATATATATATATATACATATATATATATATATATACATATATATATATATATATACATATATATATATATATATATATATATATATATATATATATATATATATATATATATATATATATATATATATATATATATATATATATATATATATATATATATATATATATAAATATATATATATATATATATATGAAGTATGTGAATATATATTTATGTGCATATATTTGCATATATACATACGCGAACATATATATTATATTTATATATATAAATATACATGCATATATATAAATTTAAATATATATATATATATATATATATATATATATATATATATATATATATATATATATAATATATATATATGTATATACATATATATATATATATATGAATATGAATATACATGCACAAATATTGATTTTAATATAATTAATTTAAAAGGTTACAGATAATTTAGTTTAGCTGAGTAAGTAAGTTTACCTAAGGCGGGCACTTTTTTCAATTACCCCCTTTAAGTCCATAAAAAATGAGTCTTACAGGAAATGAGTAGTATTGAAAACAAATCCTAAAACCTGTTTTTTGCAAGCTCAAAAAAGGGATTGCCCTAAATACACATTTGCCTTACTCAAGGGTAGAGTATAAGGGGTGGCATGTGTGCATAGAGGGACACTATTTCACCCTTTTTCTATGCATACAATCCCTTATGTTGACAAACTGGAATCTTTAGTCAGAAAATTTACTTTTCTATTGGTTAGCTAACGAATTATGGACAATGATGCAATATAGTTTTATTAATTTTATTTTTAACTTTTTATTCGATCAAAATCATTATTAATTAACAGTTATTTGTTAATTCTAATAAATTAGAAAAAGAAACATTACCAAGGTTTTTTTTTTTATTAATTAGTATTTTTATAATAACCCCTCCCCCCTCTTTCCCGTAACCGTCTCCCCCATATTCGTATGCATTTTGAAGACTTCCCCCACCTTCTTCTTATGAGCATTCGTACTTTATGGGTGGTTCCTAAAGTCACATTTATTTTATTTAGATGAGTATTTGGTGATGCAGTTATCTGAGCTTGTTCGAATGGCTTTTATTGCTGGAACATCTTCTAATGATCTCCTTAAATTAGAAGGAATGAAAATGTTGCAGGTTTTTATTCTGAAAATTTTTATTTTCAGAATAAAAACCAGCAACATTATTGTTGCAGGTTTTTATTCTATTTTTACAAGTGCTGATTTAATTAATTTTATTATATAAAAAAAAATTAACCCATAGGATGTGGTTGTTTTATTTGCGAATGTTCCTGATCCTGACACAAACAATGAACAGCTAATATTAGAACAGTTTCAAGCCCAGGTACTTTAAATTTTTAGATGTTCATACCAGTTACTTTAAAAATAAAATTCTAAATGGTTAAAACATTGTTGCACAGAACTAGTTGCACAAGAAATATAGTTCTTTTCTATTCTTTTTTTGGTTAATGTGAATTCTTTTAAAATATGTTTACATGTATACATTATTTAGCAATTTTTAATATAGTTGGTCAGTACTTTAATAGTTGTCAGTATTTTGATAAATTTATAGTTAGCTAGCATTTTAAAAATCTTAAATTTATTTTGGATGTTTGTTGTTCTTTAATTTTTTTAATTAAATTTTATTTTATGTACTTAGTTTTTTGCTCTGGTAAAAAAGATATTCTTAGACACAGTAAAATAATGTTGGCAAAACATGTTTAAAACAACAAACAAAAGATTTTTTTTTTTTTTTTAAGTTTAAGTTATAACAGTTTTATTTATTTACAGGAGTTATATTTATTAACAGTTTATTTACCGCAAAAAAAAAAAGTTTTAAATTAGAGAAAACAAACAAATAGTGTGTAATAGTGGAATTAATGAAAAGCTGATATAAGTAAATAATTTCAATATTAAATATTAAAAAATGTATTATTCAGGTTGAGTGGAAACACCAAAGCATAAAAACACAGTTTTCACCTGCTTTTTTACTATTGAAACTTGTCAACAATCAAAATCCCTCAAATAATATATTTCAAGAAAAACAAAACTGTAAATAGATTCTTAAACAAATTAAATAAATTTAAGGCCATGATGACAGTTAAGTGTTTATGTTACAAAAAACTTTATAAAAAAAACAACAAGTATTATAGAATTAACAGCCTCACAAATTGCAATGAAAAAAAAAATACAAGCACTTATTTAAATAATGTTTAGTTAGATATTGTTTGTTACTTAGCAATTGTTTAGTTAGATATTGTTTGTTACTTAGCAGTTGTTTAGTTAGATATTGTTTGTTACTTAGCAATTGTTTTGCTTTTATTCTTTTAGATTATATGAACAAAAAAGGGTTTCTAGAAATTTTTTATAATCATATAAAAATTTGATTATTGTTTATATACTTATAATATACAAGGAGTATATGAACAAAAAAAGATTTAGATAGATATTGTTTATATACTTATAATATACAAGGAGTATATGAACAAAGAAAAACTTAGTATTAAAAGTAGCTAACTATGAAATGTTTTTTTTAAAATGACTTTAAAATGTTAAACATTTATAAAGAAAAAAAAACTAGATGAAAAGTCTTGCTAATTATAAAGCTCCAATTTCAAAATAAAACTTTCCAACAAAAGTGTAAATGTTATAATGAAATCAACAATTTTAATAAATGACATGCTTTGCAATTGATTAGGAACAGTTATGTATGTTTTTTTTTTTTTCGTTTTTCCTGCAAAGTTTTTTGTGATCTTTTAAATTTATGTTATTTCACCCCAGCATAAATTCACCTTAACATAAATGTTTAAGTAAATAAAAAAAGTAAAGTTTATTTAAACCAAAACAAAAGTTTAATAAACATTTAAAATTAAAACAAATTAATGTTCTAGAGATAATGGCTAGTAATTACAAAGAATTAAATTACTTGTATGTTGTAAACTTAGGACCAAATTTTTTTTTTTTTTTTTAAATAGAAACAAACTACATTATTAAAAAAAAAAATTTAGTTAAAGGTTTTTTATTAAAATTTAAATCAAGTGAATGAATCCAACTTTATATCCAAGCAATATACAAATAAATGTTTTATCCAACTTTATATCCAAGCAATATACAAATGAATGTTTTACTATATATCCAAGCAATATGCAAATGAATGTTTTGCTATATATCCAAGCAATATGCAAAATTACATGTTGGCTATTTTTAATGTTCATGAATGCAGATGTTTTATTATAATAACTGTTTCAAGTCAGATTTTACTCAGTAGAATTGTTTTTTTCAGTAAAAAATTAGAATTAAAAAATTGAATTTCCAAGTCAGAACAAATGACATTTAGATAACTCTAATTTTTTTTTTTAATAATTTGTTTGTTTTTAGTTTTCATTTCAGCAAAAAAAACTAACTCTCAACTTATCAAAAGTAGGGTTATGCATGGCATAATGAGACATAGGGAAAAAAAATTGACAGATTGGATTTATTATGATGCCAGTCCTGCAATTTATTATATTAAAGACTTTGAAGTTGTTTTTTCAAATCATTTAGTGTTAGGAAAAACATCATTACTTTGAAATATAAAACATTAAAAAACTCAATATCACACGTTTTTTTTTTTTTTTTTTAAATTTTTTTTTATTTTAATTCACCTCCTCAAGGCCAAGAAGGCCACTACAGACGAGGAGGCTACTTATTTGTGGTTATAACCCTCTCTCAACTCTATAACTCCGAAACACGAACCTTGACGAACAAGGCCGCTGCGCGGAGAAACGAGTTGAGCGCGGTACTACCAGGGATGTGGTGGGGATCGAGCTCAGAACCACTCGTTTATGAAGTGAGCGCTCTACCACTACACCACTACCGCATTGCTCTACCACTACACCACTACCGCAGAGTTACTTCGAAATATAACAAAATAAGAAACTCAATATCACGAGTTACTTTGGAATATAAAATATTAAAAAACTCAATATCACAAGTTACTTTGAATTACAAAACATTAAAAGTTTGACAATCATTTCATACCTCGGATATATAACAATTTTAAATTTAGAAGTTTTGTTATTATAAATTTTCTTAGCCTTTTTTGATTTCATGGAGTATAAAATAGTTTTATATTCAAAATTTGTGTGTTATTATTATAATTAGGCATTATTATATCGTTTCCACACACACACATATTTTATTTCTTTACTTTAAATCTTTTTTTAAATTGTCTGGAAAATAGACAGTTTCAATCCCAACATGTTACCGAGCAAAACGAGATATTTTGTTTTTATTTGTTTCAACAATATTTAATGTTTATTTATTTAAAAAAAAAAAACACGATCAAATTTACTTGAATTTATTACTTATAATGCAGGAATTATAAAATATTGAAGTTAAAAAAAGGTTAGCTGCTTAATATATGGTGCTTAATACACAAGAGAGTTTTTATCCATTTTTGAAAAACTTTCTTTCATTTTTGAAAAACTTTATTTTTTAAACTAGAAGATAAATAAACTAGAAGACAAAACGCTTGAAAAAAAACACAGAAACTCAACAAACAAAATGATATAAAAATCAAAAAAAAAATTTACAAATTAATGTGATTAATATGATTAATTATGTTCATTTTTAAATATTTAAAGTTGTTTTATTCCTTGCCTCAAAATACGTATGTGTACATATTTTCAGATTTGCATTGCACATAAAACAGAAACATGGTTGTTGTCAATAAGTGATCTCTAGAGACCTAACCATAGAAAAAAATCCTGTTCTCCTTCAAAAACTTGTTACATGTGTCATAATAGGTAAACTAGTGCTGATTTTTTTTTGCTTTTTTCCCTCAGTATTTCTTTAACTATTGCCACTAGGCAATCACACCTAAGTATGATTTCATGATTTTCTGCTCTGCACTGACATTATTGGTTATTCATAGATATTTGTAGGTGATAGTAGGTACCAATAAAAGAGTTGAAGTAGTAAATGTGTCAATAACTGCATCAGTAGTTTAGTAATTATTAAACTGCTGGTTTAGATATCCGTAGACCGCTGGCTTAGTTGTTAAGATTAATAAAAGTAACAATTTTGACAAATAAGAGAAATATCTTTAATGTGTTTAAAATATAAAAGATTTTATTTGCTATTAGAACAATATTCAAACATAAAGATTTTTGAATCTTTAATAACTTTATAACAAAAATAAAATTTAAACTTTTTATTTTACTGTTCTCAGGTTGATACTGCTTTAAGACCAGCCTTTGCTTCAAACGTTCCTCCAGATGTTACTGCTATGGCATGTGAGGTATATAATTGTCATCTGTTAAATTCTTTTTTGATAATCACTTTTTATCTATATCCTCTTGTTAAAATACATATGTTTTCTGTTTTCTTATTTGTTAAAATATATTAATTATTTTTTTCATTGTTATACATTTGTCTTTTGTATTTTATTTTTTTTATATGTATATATATATATACATATATATATATATATATATATATATATATATATATATATATATATATATATATATATATATATATATATATATATATATATATATATATTCTTTATTTCTTTTTTTCCTATTTCTTCTTAACATTAGTAATACATTTTAGTAATGAAAATTTTTTATCATTATTTCATTGTTAAAACATTGTTAGAATGGTAGTTTCTTTGTCTTTATAGGTTTGCTCTTCCTGGATTGGTTTTGGTATATCAAAAAATGTTGCTGATGTAAGAAGGATTCAGCAACTTCTTGTAAATTCCTTAGTGAAGATAGGAAAAGTTGATGATGTCAACAGAGAGTTGTACAGTGAAAGTGCTTATACTCTTGAAAATTTAGCTGTCCTTAAAGCCTGGGCTCAAGTAAGTATTACTTATTGCAAATCTTTAAATGTATAACAAAGTTTTAAAAGGTATATAGTTATCTTTTATTGACTTTTATTGATTTTTTATTCAAAACAGTTTTAAAATAAATCAAAGTTACATAAAATAAATGAGAAATAAAATTTTAATGTTATGTATATTGTTAATTTGTTGTATTGATGACTAATTTCCTAAATATCTTAAATTAATAAAAATTTCAAATTGTTTATTAATGATATCAAATTTAAAAAGTATATTTTAAATATTTTTAAAGAAATTTTGTTTTGTGATTTTTTTAATTTCTTTTTCAATCCTAGGAATGACTTAAGCCATATGTACACAATTTATTAAAAAGTTATTTATTTGTATATAACAAATAAAAAATATTTTAATAACTTAATAAAATATTTTTTATTCATTTCAAAGATAATCTGTAACAATGTTATTGTTCCCATATAAACCAATACATAAAATTAATAACATACACTCTAGAACAATAGTTTATTTTGTAAATGTGTGGGGTTTTGAAATAAAATTGTTTTTCTAAATGTTATTGGAGTTTTTTTAATTAGAAATTTAGAAATTCTTGGCACTATAATGGGTTATTAGGTTAATAATAAGAATTAAGATGCTCTCAGATAAGATCATATTTTCTTTTATCAGGCAATGGAGAAACCATAGATACAGAATATTTTTTAGAGTTACTTATTGTTTTTAAATAAGCTGACAAAGGTATCTTTCCACTATCAAAAAACAATGATGTTTTTAAACTTAAGTTTTCCAAATTATAGTCTAAAGTATACACATTTTTGAAACTACAAAGTCTACAAAGTATAAACAAAATTATTTATATGAATGATTATTTTAGATATTTAAAGCAATAACTAAAAATTTATATATAATTAAGCTTCATAAGATCTTCATTAGTAAGTATTCCTTTGAGAATTAATCCTATTTAAAGTTTTTTATTTTGTAACAGTTTCTTGTTTTTGTGTTTTACAAATGCAAATAGTATTGCGTACTAAGGTAAGCAATCTGACATCATACTGAAATAGCCTGCTGCCGTGGGCTTCAGTACATACATCAACTAACAAATAGCCTGACTCACAGTAGAGTGCTGCTACATCGACTGAGGTTTTGGCATGGGGCAACAATCTTTTCTTTCATTATTCTTTCAGCAATCTTTTTTTTCATTTTTTCTTTTTTTTCTAAAAAAGCTGTATGGATTAAGAAAAGCAAAAAATATGAGCAAATACTTATATAAATACGCTATAGTAGATATATATATATATATATATATATATATATATATATATATATATATATATATATATATATGTATGTATATATATATATATATATATATATATATATATATATATATATATATATATATATATATATATATATATATATATATATATATATATTTAATATTTTTTTCATTTGTTTACTTTATATTTTATTATAGTTTATGATAACTTAAGTTTATAAGTATAATCATTAATTATCGAAGATTTTGGCTAAAAACAAAATGCTTATAAAATAATTAGTATAAGTTTCTATATCCCATAATTAATTTGTTAAATTATAATTAATATTTAAGTTATGATGTTAGTTGGATGTCTTAAGAACATCCGTAAAACATGTATAGATGTCTTACAGATGTCTGTGCCCGCTGGGTTGAAGTAAAATGATTTATTGATAATTTTAAGTCTATGGTCTCAGCAAGCTTACATTCGATTAAAATAAATGTCAATCCAAAATAACATTAGTTTGTCATTGTTGATAACAGATAATTTTTGATAGTCTACTGAAACTTTTCTCATCATAAGTAGATGTAAATGGATGAGTCAAGTCAAATTTTGTTGAGAATAAACACGTTAGGGAAACATGATGTCATCTAATTCTCTATTAAGAATGGATATAATGGATTTGTAGTTCAGTTGTCATTACTGGTTTTCGCCAAAAACATTTTAAAAAAACATGTAAAAAAAATATATAACTTCCATAATGTTTAAATCAGTTAATTTATATATTTTTTTGTTTTTCTCATTTGAAAAATAAAACTTTTATACCATTTGCAAAGTCATTGCAATATCTGTCACTGTACAGTCATAGTAGTTTTGATACGCTGAACATTGTTAAAAATGCATTGACTATGTACATTATGATTATAAGAGATATTTTCAAAATTTTTGTATGCATTATGGTTATAAAAGATTTTAATTATGGAAAGTTTAAATCTCTAAGTGACCAAGATAAAAGGGTTTGACTAAACAAATGTTTCACTTAAGCAAAGTAAAACAATTGTTCTTGCTTTCAAGGGACTGTAGAAAACAGTTTGAGTTGACTGGTGTTTGACCAGGAATAAACTCTAATTACACAAATGACTTCTTTTGACCTGTTTTGAAGTCTGATTTTGTTATGTAACATTGTTATATATTATACTATTTTTATTTACTTTACAGTGTATTGTAAATACATTCATTATAGATATATATTATGGCAATGAATAATGAAAAGGAATTGAAATCTTCAGATGAAAATATTAGTTTGGGTTGTCTATTAGATCTAATTAAAGGAGATTTAAGATTGCTGGTAAAGCATTGGCTGAATGCATTAAAAGATTTTGTTATTTTAACGCTGCCTCAACAGTATGAGTCACAGCTACCTCAACAAGGTGGCGTGTTTTATAGGTATTTACTTTTTGTTGTTGTTGTTGTGTTGTCATCTTGTTTTTCAATGCAGCTGTTTTTTATTATTGTAATTTGTTGTTGATGTTTTAGTTCAGAAACTGCAGACTCTGTTCGACCACATTATAAATTGTGTTGGCCTCCAATTGTGCATGCTACTGCCTTATGGTTATCTTCGGTTTCATTCCAGAATTCCACTGAAGTGTTAGTTGGTGCAGGTATTTATTTAAGAATAGTAAAATTTTATTTGATTAAATATTTTTTAAATTTTAAATCTATAAATTATTTACAAGCAAACAGAAGCACACTACACTTTTCTTAATCAATTTTGAAAATCAATTTTTTTTCAAAAATTATTTTCTATAACATGTTTTCAAACTATTTTTCAAACTAATGTTTTAAAATCAGCAGTAGAATGCTAAATCAGCTGTAGAATGCTGAGTTGTAACTCAAAAGTTTTTTAATTGAATTTTTAATTAGTAGCTTTTAATAAATTTCCAGAGTTTTTAAAAACTGTTTTCTACCTGGAAAGAAAGCAAGACCCAATAAAGATTAAAATAAATAAAAATAAAACACTAAATAGAGAGTATTGAAGAAAGTTCTTGAGAAAATCTTGTTCAGACTATGAAAAAAAAATTTTAAAATGCTGTGTTAGTGAACACCATTAGATAGAGGCTGTGTTAGTGAACACCATGGGATAGAGGCTGGATTTAAAAATTAATAATATAATAATAACTTAATATAAGTTTCTTTTATCTGTATAAATTAAAGAGATTATAAAGAAAGAATGTTTTTAGCAGATAAAAATTCTATTAACTCAAAGATCATCACAAAGAAAATCAAAACGTATTTTTATTCATATAGGTAGAAAGTATGATGATGAGGTTTAGAAGTAGAATCAGAGTATAGTAGTCTTCAACACTGAGAGCCGAAGGATGATAGCCTACAATACCAAGAATAAAAGATGAAATAGTAAAATTTAAATAAGTTTTGCATCGATTAAGTAGGTCTAGTGAGTTTTGCATAATGTAAGTTTCAGTTGTTGAAAAAAGTGTTGTTGGTACTGTTCATGCACCAACAACATGACACTATTAACACTTAGGTATTTACAGCTGTTAATGGAATCTATCTGGTATTTACCTAGGGAAAACTTACTATCAGCTTGCCTCATAACCATTAAACTGAATCTTTAAACTGTACTCTCATTAGAAAATAACAAATGAGTTGCATAAACAACCATAAACAACAAGGAACAAAAAAAAGTAGAGTCAAGAAGATTCAGTGTTTATCATTCTAAATGAGTAGAGTCAATAAAGAACCAGTTTTCATCGTTCTATACTAATATTTTACCCATGCAGTTTCAGTTAATAAAATTTTCAAACAAAATAAAAACAGCGAAGATTACCATCATAAATGTTTGTTCATTTATACACTTTGATATTTCTTTCCCAGGATCTGTCATCCACTTATTATTTGTCATCCATTCATTATTTGTCAGCTACTCATTATTAGTCATCCACTCATTATTTGTCATCCACTCACCATTTGTCATCCACTCATTATTTGTCATCTACTCCTTATTTGTCATCCACTCATTATTTGTCTCAATCTTAAAAGTTTTGTTGTTTGTGGTTTAAAAAAAAAGTTTAATATTAGAGTTTATTTATCTTTACTGTGCTAAAATTAAGTATATAAAAATTAGTATATTAAATGCATAAATTAAAAATATTTTATTGTATTGGAAAACAAATAAATTGCTCAGTTTATATATATATATATATATATATATATATATATACATATATACATATATATATATATATATATATATATATATATATATATATATATATATATATATATATATATATATATATATATATATATATATACATATATATATATATATATATATATATATATATATATATATATATATATATATATATATATATATATATATATATATATATATATATATATATATATATATATATATATATATATGTATGTATATAATATCCTGATTAATTGATAAATTATGATAATAGTTTTTCTGTCAAATTTTAAGGTTTTCATTTCTTTTCTTTTTTTTTTTTTTTCTGCAAAAATGAGTACAAATTGCAATAGCCAAATTTTTAATTTTTAAATTTTTTCTTATGAGTCTTTGATTGTAGATTATGGGCTGCACTGCAACTAATGGTGTCATGTTAAAATAGAGGTATTGGTGAATAAGTTTACATGTATTAACTGACAGGTTTGGGTGTGGGTCGTGACTATCTAATATGATAAAGACCTATGTATAACATATTATGTTAGTTTATGTTACATTTAAGTGACTTTTTTCAGAACATGAAGTGAAAACCCTTAATGCAATTGATCCTGTGAAAAAGACGATAGAGGAAGTTAACACTGATCGTTTTTATTTGCTTTCTGGTATATGTGTAGAAGCTATGTGCTCTCCTTTGTCTTTGTATCCCGTTGGAACAATTGAAGCATGTGCAAGCTCATTTAATGCACTTCTTAGTTCACATTTTGGTCGCTGTATTATTGGAAACAATAAGGTACTGACTTAATTATATAGTTTATAATTTTAAATTCTAACCATTTTTATTTTAGTCAAATTATTTTTTTAAATCACTATTTTTTCTAGTTTTTGTTGTTCGTTTTTTGGTATACATATATCCAAATAAATAGTTCATACTGAACTATTTGTTGAAAAAAAAAAAAAAAAACTTTTATTAAAATTTTAAAACTATCATTTTATACTAATTTTAAAACCATTTTAAGTTAAAATTATATTTTAAAACTTTATCATTTTATACTAATTTTAAAACTATTTTAAGTTTTTTATGTGTTTTTTTATTAATAACATATAACAATAAAATAATATACTTGTATTTATTTGATAATATTTTTATTTAATATTATAAATTTTAATTTATGCAGTAAAATGTTTATTAAAAATATAAGTATTTATAAATATTTTTTTATAGATTCTATCTATCGAATTACTTACAGTGCTACATCGTTTATTGCTGTCGCGAGATGAACCTTCATTCCAATTAATTGTTTTGGAAATCGTTTTTAAATGTTCTACAGCATTAGGTGAGTCAAGTGAACCAACAGAAGATGAAATTGTTGTCAAGAAGAGTGTTTTGTTTAATATATTAGAAATATGTTGCTATATGGTAAAAAGGTACGCTTATTCAGTTATGCCAGAAGAAATTTGGAAATCACTGCGAACTCCAAGGAAATTAGGTAAAACAAAGGTCTTTAATTTATTTCTTTGTTAAAAATAGTATTGTTAGTTTTTTTTTGTTAGTTTTGTTTCACTTTTTCAAAGAATATAGATTTAATATTAAATTTTACAGAATTTTCTGCATCAATAATGGAAGTTCTTGCTTTCGTTTCATCTATCCTTTCTGGTATACCAAAATTGTGCACATTTTCATCTAGTGTTGTATGTTTGCCAACAATTTTGTTTTTGTTATCCTCTATTTTTAAATATATTGTATTAAACATAAATGAAAACTTTTCGCATGAGAGTTTTTTGAGAACTGCTTTAACTACATTAACCCAAAGTTTTAAGGAGGTAATTACTTCGCCTCACGCACTTCATGAAGAAAACAAAGAGGTTTGGGGGAGCCTCATACAAAGGTATGTTATTTTATAGTGTTGTTTGTTTTATATAAACACTTTTTTTTTGTACTCTTTATAATAAAAAAAGGGAACAACAGACTTTGATATGATTTTGTTTTTAGTTGTCTGCTATCAGTTCTTCAAACAGCTAATGCATACACACCGTGCGATAATGCAACTCACTCCGTAATTATAACAGTTTGGGAGAATATTATGATTGTTGTATCTGTTTTTGTTTTATTTTCACCGAGCAATATTAGTAATTCAATGCTTCTTTCTAGTTGCACAAATCTCTTTTCAGGTTGCATCCAAAAAGCTCCCTCAAAAGTTAGTTGTTTATTAATTTTAGTTTATTTAGGGGAGAGTGGTGCACGTTGTCATACTTTTTATATTTTTCAAGATATTTTAAAAACCAATTGGTCAATTTTCATAAAAACTATTTTATATGGTAGTTTATCATTATAGTTATTTAAAAAACAACTTTGGAAAGCTTCAGACCATTTGAGTATAACATGCCACTTCAGACCATTTGAGTATAACATTTCTAAAGAAGGCTCCATGGTATGACAACTTGCCCCACCGTTGGGGCAAGTTGTCATGATAAGAGGGGCAAGTTGTCATAATTATATTTTATCACAAGTGTAGGTCTAAAAGGTAAAAAAAATATTTTCAAATAGAAAACAAGTATTATATTATTCATTTATAAATTATTAAAAATAACATATAAATTATATTATAATTTATGCTCTAAAACACTTTGAAAATGACCATTAATAATCATCATCAGAGTCACAGTTATAACAAATGTAGCTGGACCCTCCTGCTGTACATTCTTCATGTGCCCAGCTTGAGCACACACAGCATTTGATCCATTTTTCAGCATCTCTGCTATTAGCCCAAGTATCCATGCAAATAATACAGTAGGTTTCATCTTCTTCTGATGATGATGAGTCTTGTGTATGCTTTTTTGTTGCTTTGTCTTTTCCCTTTCCCTTAGCAGAACTTTTGCATTTTTTTTGGCAGTGGCTGTGCTGATCTCATAGATTTTTTGAAAGGGGATTCAGTCAATATAGACGAAGTTCTCTTTTTGCATGTGTTTTTGGAAGGCTTTCTTTCTAGTGCCTTTGGTAATGGCCTTACTTTATCTGGAGATGCAAGCTCAAAGCATTCAGAAATTGATTTGGCTTGAGATGTTGAAGGCTCCTGTGATGACAAAGTCAAACTTGAAGTTGAAGCACAAGTGGATTGTTTTGGTGAGACTGTAACCTCTGAAGCTTGAGGCATTGTTAATTGAGGATTAGTTTTGACTGGCATAGGCATTTCTGTTACTGAACTTGGAGCAAAGTCCAAATCTGTAAATATTTGAGGGTTAAATGGATGGATGCCACAGGAAGAAAATCTGCTGGGTGGAAAATGGGGTGGAAAACTTAACATAATAATTCCATTTGCTGTCGCATAGTCTAGTGCATTCAATGACAAGTGCGAAAAGTGATGTCAACCAGTAGCAAAACTGGATGCTCCTTTGAAGGCCGTGCATTCTTTACAAAATGAGTAAGAAATTTACAAAAAGTGTCTTCCTTCATCCAACCGTCAATCCATCCTTCCTTCATCCAATCGTCTACAGCTTGTGGTCCAGACAACATTTCTGTCACAGTCTTGCAGAGTTGTTCTCCAGAACTTTCTTCAATTCTCTCTAAACTATTTAACAAGTGTTTGACTGAGTCTTGTTTTCCTGCTTGTTGGAAAATGGCATCTGTGGTTCCAATATTCAAAAACTCTGGAGAAAATTCTGACCCCTCCAATTATTGTCCGATCAGTCTTCTTTCTGTTATTAGCAAGGTCTTTGAGTCTTTAATCAACAAATTCCTCACATCTCATCTTGAGTCAAATAAACTGCTGTCAGACAATCAATACGGTTTTCGATCCTCTCGCTCTATGGCCGACTTGCTAACTGCTGTAACTGAAAGATTTTATTGTGCATTAGATGGAGGCGGTGAGGCTAGGGCTATTGCTCTCAACATATCTAAAGCTTTCGACAAAGTTTGGCATGCTGGTCTTCTCCATAAGCTTGCTTCATATGGTGTTTCTGGGAAAGTTTTTGAGATTATCAAATCATTTCTTTCTGACCGGTTTATTAAAGTCATCCTTGAAGGCCAACACTCTTCTTTATTTCCAGTAACTTCTGGGGTTCCCCAAGGTTCCATCCTGGGCCCTGTTTTGTTTCTTATCCACATAAACGATCTTCCTGACGACCTTTCATCTGGGGTGGCTCTTTTTGCTGATGACTCAACTTTATACTCCTGTCTTGACAAAAAGTCTTCTCTTTTCGATCGCCTAGAACGGGCAGCTGATCTTGAATCTGATCTCACTTCAGTAATAGATTGGGGTTTACAGTGGCTTGTGAATTTCAACTCTAAAAAAACCCAATTGCTTACTGCAAACAACTACCGTAATATGGTCAACATTCCTATATTAATGAATAGCAATCCTCTTACTGAGTCGTCCTCTTTACGTCTTCTTGGATTATCACTTACTACTGACCTTTCATGGAAACTATATATACAATCGATTGCTAAATTAGCTTCTGCTAAGGTTGCTTCTCTTTATCGTGCTCGCCATTTCCTTACTTCTGATTCCATTCTCTACCTCTACAAATCTCTTATTCGTCCCTGTATGGAATACTGTTGTCATATTTGGGCTGGTTCTTCTAACGATTCACTCTCTCTTCTTGACAAGGTCCAAAAACGCATTGTAAATGTTGTTGGACCTGGACTATCTGCTAAGCTTGAACCTCTTTCCCATTGTTGTAAAGTTGCATCTCTTTCTCTTTTCTACAGATACTATCATGGTCACTGCTCAAAGGAGTTATCATCTCTAGTTCCATCAACTAAAATTCATTCTCGTTTTACTCGTCATTCAGCTAAGTCTCATTCGTTTTCTGTATCTGTCCCAGCATGCTCTAAAAACTTTTATTCATCTAGTTTTTTTCCCCGCACTTCAATCCTTTGGAACTCTCTCCCATCTTCATGTTTTCCTGACTCATACAACCTTCAACTTTTTAAGTCTTCTGTCAACCGTTTCCTTGCTCTATAACTCTGTTCTTTTTTTTTCCTAGTAACTCCCAACTTAATAGTGTTTGCTTGCAGCCTTGTTGAGAGTGAATGCAAATAAAAAAAAAAAAAAAAAAAACCAGATGGATTTGCGTCCCCATCACTGCCAGGTGATGCAGAAGTTAAAAAGTGGTCCCTAAAATTGACTCTCGGAAATACGAAAAAAGGTGGAATACTGTTACCAATAGCAGAGGCAGCACATGCCAAGGTAACTAAAGCACCTCTTTCTGCTGAGGTTATTGCCCCAACTTGCTTTTGGCCCTTTCTTGAGGTCACTTTATCAGGCTTTTTAACTGTAGTTACCCCTGTTTCGTCCATGTTCCAAATATCTGCAGGTGTGAATTGGTGACGTTGAAGACACACCTGAAGATTATTGAAAAACATTTCAACATTGTGTTTGTTGAAACTTATGGCACGTGCAATGCTTGTGGCCTCTGGAGCTCTTAAAGACAATGTTGGATTTTTTTGTAGGAAAGACGTAAACCAATCTCTCCCAGCACAATGATTTTTCATCCATGATTTTGGCATAGCCAATTTATTAGCATCTGCTAATTGATATGCTAGTTTCCTAACATCTTTTGGTGTAAGGCCAAAGTAAATATCTGAAGCTCTTTGCAAGTAGCTACAGAGTTTAAGATGAAGCTCCTGTGTCAACACTTGCCTGAAATAATATAAAATATATACCAGTATAAATACTTTTTTTATGGAGTCACTTATAATAACAAATATTATAATCCTTAAACATATTAACAATTTACAAACCTAGGTTGTACGTAGCCAGTGTGAAATGAAGGAATTGTCGATCTTTCTTGAAGATCTTATGTAGAGGCTTTTGACAAATAGCGTTGTAGACTTCTATAGTTGATGTTGAAATCTAGAGACACCTGGGCCATGCTTCTGCCATGTAACTTTACAGCTTTCACTGCTTCAAGGATTGTGCATTTAGCAGTGGTACCTCTACTGGTTTTCCTTTGATAATTTCGAACCATGATTTAAAATATGATAAAGCAAAAAAATAAAAAAATGTTAGGATAAAAGTCCAAGAAGCAAAACTTTATAACTGTCTAATGTCTATAACTACCACTATCATTTATTAATGTTTACTAAGGCTTATTATTAATCTTAAATATTATGCCTAATTCATTTTATTGATGTTTATTACTTATAATAAGCATTGTATGTATTATTAACATTCATTCAAGACTTTTACAACTATATGAAAGTATGGAGGCAATTTTTTTTATATGACAACTTGCCCCCTTTAAAATAGGACAACTTGCCCCACAGGGGGTAGAGGAAGGTTTGACCTAAATAACTTTTTATCCTTGCCGTGATTCTGAAAAATGACTAGCACACCAATAAAAGAATTTCCAAAACTATAAACATTTTAATGTATTAAACACAAATATTGCATAATGTTACTGTATTGAACATTTGAACAAAAAAGTTAAAAAGTTACTTACCAACAAAATTTTTACTTTTTTTGGATTTGTAGAAAAACTATTCGCGCAAATTTCATGAAATCAACTGAGCAGTCATCTTTCAGCACCATTTATATAATATCGATTTTATATTATATTTATATAATATAATATAAAATCGCAGCATCAATCCAGCTATAACATTCCAGAAATAGCGACTATGACAACTAACCCTTATGACTTTTAGCCCCGCTCTCCCCTACTAGAATTCAAATAAATAAATTTATCATTTACTATTTAGCTTCGTTTATTAACTTTAAAAATTGTTGGAAGCATCATTAAATCTCCAATAAGCTGTCTGTCAATTCCATTTATCCATGAATGTATTCCACTAGTTTATGATATCCTTGAAACTACGCATTCAAAGCGACCTGGATCGGAGTCTGAACTGTTATGCTGCAAGGAAAGCATCAATCTGATTGAATTTATTCTTTCTATAGTTGAAGAAGATAAACGTAAGTGTACAATACTTTTTAGCGTTTTTTAATAATTATATTATAATAAATATTATATATATATATATTTTATTTTATTATTATTTTTTTTTTTGTTATTTCACCTCCCCAAGGCCGAGAAAGCCACTACAGACGAGGAGGCTACTTAATTGTGGTCATAACCCTCTCTCAACTCTATAACTCTGAAACACGAACCTTGATGAACCAGGCTGCTGCGCGGAGAAACAAGTTGAGCGCGGTACTACCAGGGACATGGTGGGGATCTATATATATATATATATATATATATATATATATATATATATATATATATATATATATATATATATATATGTATATATATATATATATACATACATACATACATACATACATACATACATACATACATACATACATACATACATACATACATACATACATGCCTCAGCGGGGATTAAGAGCTTTAGCTCTAGCTCATGTCCACACTCCCCTAATGTTTATAAGTTATTTTATACTCAACAAATGTTTTGTTTTTAGTAAAGCAGAATTTTAGTATTATAAATGTCAACATAAATATTTCATAAAACAATGTTATAATAGAGTTAGTAAAAAAAAAAAATCTTTTCTTTTTAAACACAGATATGCAGTGCAGAGAGATTTGTTTTCCTAAAATCCTTGGTGTGAAATTCTGAGTAATATCTCTATAACATTAATGACAATATGGTCAAGTTCACAAAGATGTTTATAAAAAAAAGCATTATCATTGTAACTAAGATGAAAAACATAAAAAATTTGGTTATTAAAAATTAAGTCATTTTTAAAATAAAACAACAATTGCATAATAAACCGTAATCCTTTTTAAAGGCATGGTTATTGCAAAAAAAAAAAGAAAAAAATAAAGCCAAGACTAACTGATTGGTATTATTTAAAATTCAGTTTATAATATTAAACATTTTTGAAAATGCTTTTGAAAAAGTAAAATATTCTTTTTCAATGTTATAATTGATTTTTTTTATTTTGCTTAAAAGGATGAGACTTTGCTGAGTGTCGAGTAAAGCGAGAATGAGTTTTAGTTGATGGAATTAGAGATGGAGCTCCTTTGAGCAGCGACCATGATGGTGTTAAACATTGAAACCCTCATTGTGTAAGTCTTTTAATTGCTGAACATTAACTTCCATAACAGGATCAGCGGTGTACTGTTTAATGACTTCCTAAATTGCAACACAGAAATTGCAGCTGGTGGAAAGTTTTTTTTTTGTGTGTGTGAAATAAAATACACCTAACTTGTGTATTCCAGTTTTGGATCCAAGCAGATTTATTGTTTCTACCTTATCAAAATAAATCTGAATAAATACATGAGTACTGTTAGGAAAATAATGTTCGGCATATGTTTTGTAAAATTTCTTTTTGACACACACTTGCATTTGTTGCTTTGTTGATCTGTCTTGTTTAACATCTCGCTGATCTCCTATTGAATGAGCTTCAGGTTCATCATAGAGACCTTTTACTTTAAGATAGTTCACTTTTTTATAATGCCTTTAAAAGGATTTTTCCAGTTGTTAAATTCTTTTAAAAGAGATGTTGTGGTATCACATCTTTATGCTTTTAAAACAACGTCTGTCTTGGCAAGCAGATAATTAATAATATCAATTACCAACTCATTTAAGCTATCCATTGAGAGAACTGTGCTTATTTAAGCTATCCTTTGAGAGAACTGTGTTTATTTAAGCTATCCATTGAGAGAACTGTGCTTTTTTAAGCTACTCATTGAGAGAAATGTGCTTAGAGAAAAGAAACTAGAAGATTGCAGATCAAATGATTGCAAATCAACTAGAAGATTTACATCAAAAATTTTAATGCTGCCTGTGAAAACACCATACTCGTCTACAATAAGTACAATAAAAACACTTTCTTTTGCTACACTTTCTTTTGTTAAACTTTCAAAATATGAAACTCCGTTGTAATCTTTGGCTAAGTATTTGTTTTCTGTATTTTGCATTGTAATATCTGAATGGTTAACAACTTGTTTCAAATTATCATGACACCTATGAGTTTTTTTAACGTATTTATATAACACTTTATAAAGTGTGAATGTGTGCATGCAACCATCAACATTGCATCGTAAAAAACTAGTTTCAAACAACAGGTGTGGGTTTTTTAAATGATAAGTATAATCATTAATGGATTGAAAGTGTTTTGTGCACAAGTAACAACACAGTTGTAAAAATCTGTACAAAATATCATGTAAAATATAAAAATAATGCTACACTAATGCATTTATTTAATCATCATAATATATATAAAACTAAAAAAGTATTTTTAATAAGAAATAAAAAAAATTTTCTGCTCTCCATATTCTACTTCATATAAATATACTTTATATAAATATAAAAATAATGCTACACTAATCCATTTTTTTAATCATCATAATATATATAAAACTAAAAAAGTATTTTCAATAAGAAATAAAAAAAATTTTCTGCACTCCATATTCTACTATAATTATATTTTATTAAACTGTTAACCTTTTTTCCCTCAATTATGGCTTGAATTTTAATGCCCATTATGCAATGGGCATGAAAATGGGCCAGTAATAATGTGTTTAACTCCAAAAAAGCTAACCAATCAATTTCTTCACCTAAAATAATAATCAATAGTATATTTAGTATAAGAACTAAACATTTGTGTTTCAATAGAGTTAAAAGCAGGGATGCGAAATTCCATCGATTTTTTGGGATTTTAAGACTCCGGACTCCGAGCTCAAAAATCATGGACTCCGACTCTGGAATAATTTTTTTCTTTATCTAAATATAGGGTTTTTATTATCTGGAACTTTTACGCAAAAATTCCGGAAAAATGAGAGAGTACCAATAATATTTTCTCTTATGAGTTATATGTTTATTTTATGTACCCTAAGAAGTCCTTACGGTCTTATAACCACCTTGGAAAAGCAATTAACAGGAAATTCACTCCTACTTCTTAACCAATGTTGCAAAACCAAAGTTGGGTTTGAACCACGGATCCCTTATTTTTTTAGGAAAGTGCGCTACTACTGCGCCATGGCTGCTTAAACCCAAAAGTTAATTTGTCCCGCTCTTGCTGGATCGTATGATATTATAAGAACAATACAACTCCAAAGATTTTTATTTGATTTGTATTGGTGCACGCACAGATTTCTCAGATGTTGCACTCAATTCTTCAGATTATTTGAAACCACATGATCATAAAGTTATAAAAAGATTTAAATGCTTATTGGCATTAATTACTTGCTAAATTATAAAGTTACAAGGACAAAATATTACAATATTTACATCATCAAAAAATGTTTAAAAAAAAAACTTGTTTGTTCGTAAAAAAAAGCATATCATCAATTAAATCAGATGTAAATTGACTACGATGGTCTGGTGTCATGTGCTTTAAGACTGAAAACAGACGCTCAACACTGACTTGGGATATGGGTAGCAACAAAGCGACTTTGTTGCTACCCATATCCCAAGTCAGTGTTGTACCCAGTGTTGTACCCAAGTCATGTTGTACCCATATCCAAATCTAGTTGAACCTGAATTTGTTTTTCTGAAGAATTTTTTTGAACCTCCTGTTCACACAACTTAAATAAATTTGGTCAACACTTTGTGATTAGTGAAGCATTCTCGTCATTTTCTGAACTAGAGTCTGACACATAAACTGCAAAAGAGTTGCGCTCTACTGCTTTTTTGGTTTTATTGAGTTCATTATTCTTATTTTCATTAGCGAATTGAAACAGTTTGTAGTGTATTTTCCAAAGTCTATCAGCTGCAGTTAACAATAGAAGTATTTATACTTTTTTGAATATTTTTAAAGTTAAATAAATAAATATATATAAATAAAATTTTATTAAAAAAACCTTGTCTTCAGTTGCTGTTAGTATACAGCTATGCCTAATATCAACATAAATTGCTGCAAGAAACAACGGATTTTCACGTAGCGTGTTTTCTCTATTATCGATTCCTTTTTGGAAATCTTTGGCTAAGTCACTGTCCTTCCCATCAAGTTCACACTTTATTGAATTCCAATCAAAAAGAAATTTGCCTGCGGTGATATTTTCACGTTGAAGGCGAATATCGCATGCCATATGCAATACATCTCTCAATTCCTCCCACATACCCCAAAAACATGGTCGCACATTAAATTTTTTAGGAGCCTCTTTTTGCATATTTAGATTTTGAATTACTGGTCAAATCTAGAAGAACAGAAGAATTCATTAAATATATGTACAAAGCTATTAACTACTTAAATAAAGAGGATTATTAAAGAAATATTTACATAAACCAACATTATTATTAAGTAAAATTATTAAGTAGTATAAATGTCATTACCATTGAAATAATAGGATTTATATTAAACCGTTTAGAAAACTGGTTTATACACTTTGATTAAAACTTAGAAGTTATATGTTATAACTTAGCTTAATTAGCCTCACAATCATATTGAACTGGCTAGACTAACGGCTAGCCTGATCTAAAATTGGAATGAGATGTGGAGTTTTATCCCTGAAGCATTAAAGTTAGAGCATGGACAGCACATCTTTGAAGATGTTTAACACTCATGCTACTGGCAACTCCACTTGCTAAGACTACTGCCGCATTGTCTGCTTTAGAATAACCATCGTAAAGTTCATCAGTTTCTACTGAAAAATTGTTTTCGTCATCTACAATTTCCTCAACGGCGCTGATGCCAAAGTCGCGCACCAACTTTATATTCACCTAAAGATATTAAATATGATTTCAATAGTTAATTTAAAGTTTATTGAATATACAGTATACAAAAGATTTTATCAAAATAGTTTAATTTGTAAATGATTTTATGAAAAATAATAGTTTTAATCACATAATTTTAATTTTTTTTCATTAACAAAAAATATAGTGAATTTCAAAATATGTTACTCACTGCTGCGTTGTTAACACTGAATATAAAATATTAGTTTTATTGATTCCAAACTTATCTAAACACTTTTCAATAATTTTTTTTGTGTATTCCGC